GTTGTTCTTCTACCGTTGATTCTTTCCGAGCAGTTATTAACGTCGGCGCTCAATGGTGCGGCACGAAAAAAAAAAAAAAGAAAAAAAATTCGTCGACACGGTAAACTGACTGCGCTGACAAGTAAAGCGCGAAATTCCAGAATCGAATGTCGGATAGGAAATACGAGCGAAACACGAGCCCCGAGAGAGCTCGATTTCGCGCACACACATTTCCGGTTATTCCACGTCTGTCCCTTTCATTTGCGTGTTATCGCGCTACTTTTCAACAATCTGCAAAAAAAAAAAACTAAAATAACACACGAAGTATGTCCAGGGGTTTTACTGGGTCAGCACGCGAAAATGCCTCCCGAAGAAATATTTTACATTTTAACGGAAAATTTAATCGCGAAAACGTCGACTCCGTTGCGGAGAGCAACTGTCTAAATTGTAATTTTTGCACAATATTTATTAAAATCTGCACACAATGAAACATCTCCGTTTTATTAATCTTTTTCATTAAAAACTTTACAAGAGTTTGTTGAAAATTTTATTTGAAACCGTAAAAATGTGTTATCGAGAAATTTAATAGCAGAAAACTTAAAACCATAACATCGACGTAATATAACTCTAATATTTTTTTTCCTGTTATTTTCGCGTGTTTGTTTTCATATCATAACTTTTCGCCGTAACAGTGGAATTGTAACAACGCTTTGAATTTACATATCGTTAATTAAGAGCAAAATAAATATGTTTGCAACTGTTATACGGCTCGCACCGTAAAACCAACGTTTTTTTTTATTACTTTTTAATACTTTTTACACGCACGCGTGCAATCCGTTGTCTCATATAATATGTGAATATGCATCTCTCGCAATCTTGCTTATGTCAACGTAGATTAGGCACGCTCGAATGCGTAAGGGTTGAGAGTCATCGCGTCAAGAGCGATGTTCCGAGAGAGGGTGGTAATCCCTTGGAAAAGTGCCGATACGCTTCGGCGGAACTGTTCTTTAACACTTTTGTCTTTCCAGCCAAGTGGGTTTCAAGCAAAAAATAAAATCTTAAAAGAAGAGAAACTTCGCGCGCGCCAGTCTAATTACTCTCGCTCTGTGACGTTCCGAAGTCGTACAAAGGATACGATTGTCCAGTCACGACCATTGTACCTTATCGTAAAATTGCAGCAGGATTTTATTCTTCAAGAACAATCATTGACAAATGACACAGAGGTAAAATATTTATAACAAATACGGTAAATCACAATCTTATATTTAATTTCGATATTATTGTTTTCTTTCTGAGAATATAAATAAAATAAATATTTTCTTCTTCAAAAGAGAACTCTTGCGTCGGAAATAAATCTAAAATATAATGAGAGACGATAACAAACGGACACGGCGAACAACAATTGCGCTGAAGGCAATAAAAATAATATTTACGAGTTTTTCTTGTCGAAGTTTCCTGTGTGTGAAAAATAAACTTATCTCACTCCGCGAATAGCGCGTGGCGTTTTATCAGAGCTTTAAAGTGCAACGTGTCTGTGATGATTCAGCACAGAGGGGTGGTGGCCCTCACGGAGTGTAACCCTTAGGCGCACCGTTCGCATGCACTTTCGCCACGCAGGATGTTAAGGAAGGGGTTGTGCGTCTCCTCTCGCACCGGTAACGCGATCAATAAGATAATTGAAGACTTTCTCGACAATGCAACACCAGCGGAAGGGAACAATTTCGCCATCTCGCTCGTACTAGGCGCAAGGTCATTATTTCCTCGTCTTTCGCTCTCGCCTTTATTATTAATACGTCCGAGTTTCGCGCGCACACAAACAACAAACAAGACGACTATAAGTTGTAGTATCGCAATATTGACCTTTTGTCAATAAAATTTCGTTATCGCGACGAGTACGTTAATACTTTATCTAAAACCAAATTTATATTTCAATCATTTTGACAATTAATTATCGACAATGTTATAAATGATTTATTCAAGTCGAAATTCAAATTTGTCGAATTGTTTTTTGAATATGTTTTAAAAATCACGACGATTTCGTCAAAAACTCCAAAAACGGTTTTCGTCAAACGTTGGAAACCGATATTTTTCATATTATTTGCAAATAAAAAATGCAAACGAGAAAAAACATTCTGGGAAAATATTTCCGATCGTTCTGAGTGTACGTAAAAAATAGAGATCGTCGCGAACGCCAGAGAGCGGAGTCTATAAAAGAGAAACGTGTTTACCCGCATCGAATATCTATAACGAGAATTTTATACAACCGGAAGCGACGAATTTCAACCACACGCAATCAATTATCCTACGAATATTTTTATCGACTCTTTACCGCGAGTTTGACGCTTGAATTAAACCGCTGTTAGGAAAAATTTAATTTAACAGATAATAGATTGTTTCTATTTTCAATTAAGCTTGATTTAATAAGTCGCGAAAAACGTGTTTTTCCTAATCTCGCAACTATGAATGAATTAAATGAAAATAGTTCGCGTTAATTAAATTTAACTAGATTGTGCATAGACATATATATATATATATGTGTAAACGCGAGAGAGTGCACTTCTCTCTCTTCCTCCCCGATAAAACCTCGTTAAATGTTTCGTGTTCGCTGCAAACTTGCCTGCTGCAGGAGGTCACGTTGGAATCTGATACACCGGTACCGGTTAGTGTCACGCTATCTTAAAAAAAGCCATTAAAAAATCGTGCAAAATTTGCACGACTCTGTTGCACGATGACCTAAAAAAACGCAGTCGTCAATGCACTCCGGTCACGCGAGTGCATGTGTGTTTAAAAAAATATATCGATCCTCTCGAAGTCGGTTAGTCGCACGAAAAAATATTTTATTTCACCGATGACTCACGCAAAATCTATATTTTATTCTCTCTTATCCGTTTATAAGAGCTACAAAGATCATAAAGATACTATAAGGAGCGGAAAAACTGGTTCTTAAACGTCGCGCGAAATAGACACGCGTAAATGAAAAAAAAAAAAAAAAAGGACGTGGAATATGTAATATCTGCTCGCGTTTCCTGATATTTGATCGGACCGCAAAAGGTTAACTGGCTGTATCGAGAGGCAGGTCGCTTTTCGAGATAGTAGCGAAGTCACGGAGGCGCGAGAAAAAAACAACGTCGGAAACAAGCCGTGTTGCGTCGCGCTCGTAGTCGGCCAACCGTGAAAACGGGCTTGTCGCGGAGAGCACAGAGTGCAATCGCGCGGTAATGAGGTTGACTGCGCGTCCAAAAGTCGTGGCAAATGAACCTGTAGCTTGTCGTCTACTACGTGCCGTATAAAAAGTAATCAAAGCAATCGTGTGTCACTTTCGGCATAAAAGTTGTTGCGATTGAATCAATGTTTTTTAAAAACAACGTTTTAATATACAACACATCCATGCGTTTCTTACCATTTACATTAATTAAGATGAGTTAATAAGAATATATTAAAAAATTAATATATATTAATATATTAATATATATTAATAAGAATATATATTATTATATTATTATGCGTATACAAAAAAATACTCGAGCAACTTGTACATTTTTTAAGTAATAAAGTTCCCTTTTTAAATTTCCTTATCAAAGTTGTTGATAATTATTATTGTCAATTGTTTGAATAGTTAATCATTATATTCGATTTTATTATCTCAACTGCGATAAGCATCGTTGCTCTCTCTTTTTTTTTTTTTTATCACCGCCTGTGTTTACAGTTGTTAATAACACCCGAAGAACAATATTATTGAACGATCACGCGACCGTATCGCGAATCAATGTTTAAGAATATTTTATCTGTGAATTTGAACGTTTTGGTCCACAGAAATGTGCGACGAGTGGACGCATCGATCGAACTTTCCTTCGCGACAAAAATCTGCGCAAAATTGTGTAAACAACTTCGCGATTTTGAATATCGTCATATGTGGAACAATTAAACGTGATCTCATTTGCAGTTCAATAGCCGATAATTTATCAACTAAAATGAAGAGCGTGTCCACGTAACGAAACACAACTCGTCAATTCTATACGCGCCGAACTAAATGATCACAGCAGCGGTAGACGGCAAATGCGGCATAAACACAAGGTGCGATATAACGAGTACCGTGTGGCGTATAACGAGCGTACTTAAACGCACCGCTGCTTACAACGTACGTACATTGTACGGCACGTACACGTGCTCGGATGTACATTTCGTTGAAAAAAAAAAAAAAAAAAGAACTACCCGAAACTAAATCCAGATATCACCCCAAAGTTTTCTGATCATTGCGATTACAAGCGCTCGTCGACGACCGACCGACCGACCGGTTTTTCCGTAGAAAACGTTATACGACACTCTACCGAATAGGGTCTTCACATAATAATGGGAAAGAATGTGTTCTTTGTGTCTAAATCCAGAAAAAAGAAAAACAATTTACCCAAAAAAGAGACTCTGTTGAAACAGGCTCGAGATAATTCCCGAAATATTTTGAACGCCAAGAGAAACGTTGTATTCTGTTGTGGAATTTCATGTGTTCTGTATATATATATATGTACATATATTGTGATCTCATCAATATTAATAAGTAAAATAAATATTATATATATATATATATATATATATCTCTTTTGACGTGTATAGATTTAATCTCTTGTTCTAAATGTTTCAGCATTTTCTCGCACATTTTATCGCTCGCAGGTGAACCATATGATCGATTCCTGGAAAAGAAACCGACGCTGAGCGAGAGCGAGACTCTTCGTGCGAAAGTCCCAGGGACACACGTTGCCGAGCGCAGAGAGGCTCCGGTTACAGAAATCGCGGGAGGGCGCCGACTGACAGCAGGGGCGGGCAACACCCGGCGCGTCGTCGACCTCGCGGCTCGGCTGCACACGAGGGTGGGTTTTCCATGCTGATGTAAACCGGCGATCGATAGGAAACCCGCGCGCCGCCGGCGTCGGCGGCAAATTGACGGAAAAATGTGAAAAATCCACATCCTCGGCGCCGGAAACGAGATAACGCCGGATTCTGACACAAAAATCCGAGAGGAGACTCACCGCTTGGAATTGCTCCAACAACTCCTGCCGGTCGTCGATCGTGGTGGCCATGTTGTCCGAATAATCCTTCCGCCTTTCCTTTCTCCGCTGCGGCACCCGCGATCGCTGGTCTCTCTGTCGCTCCCTCGCGCCCTCCGACTGTCACTGTTCTTCTTCTTCAAACCGTCTCTGTCCTTCTCGCGCGCCCGGCGTTGCGTTGTATGCGATGGTGTGTGCGTATGCGTGCACCGTGTGTACGTACGCCGTGACACAATGCGGCGCGCAACGTGCAACGACGACACTCCTGACGACGGGGATCTGCGATTTTTTCACTCGCGAACGCGAGAACTCGGATGTGTGATCCCGGAAAACAGCGGTCGCTCGAACTCGTAAAGTGTTTCGGTTCGGTTTTGCGAAAAAGAAAGATTGTTCCTAGAACTCTACAGTCAACCGAATATAGCAAGAGCCAAACGCTCGACACGTCCTGTCTTGCGGGAGTCGCAACGTACACTGAGAAACGGCCCGTCAAATACAGCGCGCGCCAGCGGACCGACGCGCGTCGACGACGCACGAACCCGCACGAAGCGAAGCCGGGATTTGACACATGCCGGCCCGGGGCCCTCTGCACCTTGCGCTCCGAAATACCTCGCATAATAACTGTTTCAATGGAGTAAAAAGTCAAAAATGAATCGACGAAAGAGGGAGAAAAAATGATCGAATCACATTTTGTCAGATTTTGTTATTGATTATTAATCAATGATTATTAATCAGTTAAAAAAATCTGTTGTAATGAATTATCGCACTTTAAAATTTCGTTTATAAGTAAAATAAATATGTGACGAACGTAGAGTCAGGACACAAAGAGTGTTGTCGAATAATTGACAAATTGTAACATGTACTTCGATCGACGAAACACTGACTCATCTGCTTTTCATATTCAAACAGTAAGTTCTTAAGTGGAACAAACACGAGCATGAAGCATTTAATATATATACGTACGTGATTTATCATATATTTTCGAAACTTTATTCGCGACAGCAAATAATCGATTATAAAAATATTCGCGGTCTTTTGCGCGTATTTTCATTAATTAAAAATGTGAAAAACAGAAGCATTTAAAAGCGCATAGTTAATATTGCGTTAAAATAATACATATACATTTGAAAACAATGCAAACGTTGTTGTGTGAGAACCGACACTTTTTAATGAATTCCACTCAACGTCCGTCTGAGACGCCTCGAGAGAAACATGCCAATAAAACTACGATGATACATACACATATGACGACAAATGAAATCGTTCAAGTTGATCTCATCGTACCTTTCGAAACACATTGCACTTCAAAGGTCCCTGGGCGGATAATGTTGCATTACTCTAAAGGCTCTTCTTAACGGATGTTCCTATTCAGACCATCGCGAAGACTCGTTTTAACCTTCCTTCTCCCGCTTGTCAACCTTCCTCAAGATCAGCAAACGCACGTTATTTATCAACAACACACTTATCAACGCACGCGTTAGAAACGTTTTTTTCAATTTTTATCTCTTTATTCAGCGAATCGGTAACGATATAAAAGTTGTAAAAATTCAATATGTCACACATAAATTGACAAAGTAATCAATTTATATATTATAATTAATTTTGTAATATATGTGCACAACTTGCCTGATAAAACATTCACGACAAAGCATTCACGACGAGATCACAGACACTCTTGAATTCGCGGTATTGCCTCGCATTTCGTAGGATCGTGCGACGATGATTCATTTTTCACATGTGAAGCACAGCGTAGTGGAGACACTGGGTCAAAAAACAAAAAAAACAAAAAAAAATTCAGATTGACTCATTCGTATCGTCATTGGAAAAAAAAAAAACCAGTCTGTCTACGCGTATTGCTCAACGATACATACATATCGATATATACGCATCTCGGTATGTTTACGCGACGAGCAATTGCCGAGTTCGCATTTCCGCGTTGTTTTCCGGCTTGTTAAGCTGTAACGAAATGAAATATCTATTAGTGAATTTATCATCGCGCACGCTTGTCAATTAAACGAGTACGAAAAAAATAACACGAATAAAAAACAATAAATAAATCCACTGTATTTTTCGCAAATTAAACATGTTTGAGGATTTTATTCGTAATTAATTAATCTCTTGTGTGTTATATTATATAAATTGATATATCTTATATTACTTTATAAGTACTGCGTGAAAATAATACGCTCGACAAGACGTTAGATCGCTTTTTCAAGTGCCGCGTGTTGTCACGCTGAACCAGAAATTCATATGCGCTCTTCTCTCTCGGCTTTCGGTGTGCTCCTCGTTTGCTTCTTTATTGACATTCTATCTCTCCCGCCCGTTACATACATGAATACGCTTCATACGGACATCGACCCCTTTTAAATAATGTTACCTCACGGGAGAAACGGGAGAAGAGATAAACCCCGTCCTGAATTCCCCGAAGCTTTCATCTTCCCGAGAGATTATTTTCCAAGTTTTTTTCCCCGAAAATCTTTCTTCTCTCTGTTGATATTAAAATAATGGCAACTCGAAAATGAAACGCGAGAGAGAAACTTTCGCGCAAAGAGAAAATTCAAATTTCGAGCTGAAATTGTAACACACAAAGAACAAGTTTTGATACAAACGTAGTTTCTGATGTAGTTTTTAATTTCGCGAATATGACGGAGAAGAACGGCGAGGGTGAGATAAGGATGCAACAAGGGCGGTATCGGATATCGAGAGATCGCGTACGAAGCGATTATCAGAAATGCGATAATCGGACGATATCGCGAAAGCGCGAAATAATATCATCAAGAATATAATCGATAACGGCTTCTTTGACGTTCAAATGATTTTTATTGTTAGATACATCTATGATAATATATGCAACAAGAAGTAAATCGCTTTCTTATCGTCGAAATGACCCCCGGAGAGAGAGAGCTCGCCGCAAATAAAAGTTCTCTCAAAGTGATATATCTCGAATATATCGCTACATCTATCGTATATCTCCGCGTTACACACTTAACTCTCGGTCGAAAATTACAGAAACGCTTTATACAAGTTTCTTCATGTAGCACATGCCGAAAATAATACATCTGTTTTAGTCGGATTTTCAAATAAATTACAGCAAGCGAGTAGAGTACAGTAGTAAACTATTACAGTAGCAAACTACAGAAGAGGCCCTTATGAAAACAGGTTTCGAGTGTCACATTGAAAATGTAATGCGTGTAGTATTTACTTGCCGTGAAAATTTCAACAATAATAATAATAATCTAAACGCTAAATAAAAATCTTACGCTAAGTGTGAAAGGAAAAAACTACTTGAATAACGACGAACTTAATTCACGAAAATATTTTCTTCTGTAAAATGCGAGCCGTTTTCTCCAATAACATCGTTTCTAACATCCACTCTGTGTGTAGAAAAAAATTTCACAGTTGTGTGTGTATGTGTGTGGTGTGGTATATACACGTGTAACATGTTAAAAGTATCGCAAAATATGTTCCTTAGAAAACTAGCTACGTAAAAATGTGTTTCAAGAATCGGTCGACGGACTAAAATAATCTCGAGGAATTTACGCTAATACGCTAATACGCTTGTGCACGACTGTCTCGTGTTACACTGAGGGAAGTGATGCTGCCGAGATTGTTGTGTGTTTGTTGTGTGCACGAGAAAATCGATGCTCGTGTCTCAAAAACACGTAGGCACTTGCCTTTTGTGTATCCAAACGAGTGTGTGTGTGTTGTTATGTGCGATAAAATAATTCAACATCGCACAAGTATCTCTATTCATAACGTAAAGTATACAAGTGTTTTCCGTAGGACACGCCAGGCGATTACCGATTTTTCAATTCTGTTTGCGTTAATGACAGTACAAATTATTTGAACCGCGCAAAAAAAGATAAAACAATTCGCACGAAAATCAAAAAATTTTTTTGCAAAAGAAAGAAAAACAGAATTGAAATGAAGAAAAACCAACGCCATTAATTAAAATGCGTGTGTCAACAATTTTTGTAAAATCCCGTCGTTAATAAAACTTTTACACACCACAACATTACCTGTCGTGTCCGGCACAACAATCGAAGAAATTGTTGATATCAATGGACTTTTCTGATTCTGTACAAAAATATACGTGTGTCACATCGATTCTTTTGTCTCACAGCCTGTTTTAAATGAAACGTAGCATTCATCTCATTGCCGACAATGTACTAAGTGGCCGAAGTTCGTTCAGTAAGTTTGCAATGTTAATCAAATTTTCCAGGTCTCTTTTTCTCTCTTTCTCTTACGCTATAATTAACAGTTATAATTCTGTCCGTGTTTTATTGACAGAGCTCATTCATTAAGTGTCAAGGTTGTCCGGCAATTCGCGCATTTTACATCGCTATACAAATATTTAAAACACACTGTGCGTTCTCAACCCCTTTCCCACCCCTCACGATTTTATTTCTTCGTGTAGAAACTCAGGATTTTTTTTTTTTTTTTTTTTTTTTTATATATATAACATTTGTTTAAACGAGCAACTGTACAGAGATCTTTTCATACGCTTTGTATTCGCGCGTGTCTTATTCTACAATAAAAATTCTGTTCAGCTTTTATACAAAGCACTCTGCGCGTCCCGCGTACATCTCACATTGGATGGACATTTTCGTATAAAGCGATTTTTCCAAATAATGACATTTCACGTGAAACGGATGTTAAAATTTTACAGAAAGAAATTTACAGAAGTTGATTGACGACGCTTGATTAAATTACAAAATTAATATTTTGTTGATAAATAAAATATTAATTTTGAGACGTATTTTGTAACATATAAAATAATAAATGTGTCGGGGAGCGAGAAAACTCGATGCGTTATAAAAAGAAAATTAGTAAATCTTGTACTTCGATTACCGACTTCAATGCGTAAAACTTACTATATTTATCGATTATTTACTCCAATACGAAAATTAATATCCTTATCATAACTTATTGTGTCACACATGTAATCTTTAAAAAAAATTTAACTGCTCAACATCTTAATTTTAATCTCTTACTTGGAAATACTACTAGGAACAAACAATTTAAAACAAAAAAAAAACTATCGTTTTTATTTTTAATTCTTACATTTTATTTTGTATTGTTTTTATTCAATAAATGTGATATATGATAAGGAAAACCGAAATATAAACGGAAAATTATTTAACGATGCGCACATAGTCGTTCTGTGAAAAATATTTACATGAAAGAAATATGCGCCGCGCACACGCGTGCGCGTTTTACCTATCTACCTACGTCAAGACAAGTAAGAAAATATAATGTATTACTATTGTAGAAAATTATATAATTAAAATAGATAAAATTATAGTAGTATTACCTATAGTTAAAAACTATATTAATTTTTCGAATATGTATATATATATGCGATGACGAAAGAAAAACGATATGATAACGAAAAACATTGGAAAAAGTACAAGGAAACGTGAACGCAAACGATAGCCTCTGGGTGCGGAATTACATCGACCACAATGTGTGCACTATTTATAGATTACTGTTTCGGGAAGGCAGAGTAGATATGCTATTCATCTGCTTGTTGTGTTAAACGTTTTCTTTTTATTTTATACAAACTATAGTTTGCTTAGCTCTCCAGACCTCTCGGTAATATAATTCTACTATATCCTATAACATATTTATATATGTATATTCTACTCATGATACACGCAATCTCTCAGTCTCTATTCTGTACATTTACCGCTCGGCACAAAGGAAAAATCCTTGCTTGTCGCGTTTGTGCGCCTCAGAAATGTAAAAACCGATACAAAAGGTCCACGACGGTATCATCGTACAACATAACGACACGATACTTTGGAACGATAAGAGTTTCGGTTTTATTTTATCACTGCGCTCACACAAGTATATGGGTGAAGAAGTATATATTTGTTGTGTCGTTTCTCTTATTTCGCCCGATATATTACTGTGACTCGCAATGCTTGCTGCGGTCAAAATCTTGTTCTTACACAGAGTCAAGGTAAGGTAACTTGTTGTTACAGATCGTATCGATTGACATTTCACGGTGAGAAGCGCGAGATATAATACGTATAAAAACTACGCAAACAAAAATATTTTTCTTTGATCAATTAACAAGATCAAGGAGAGCGTCGTATCACGGTTCATCCGTGATTCGTTCATATTATCAGCAAAATTATATGAAATTATCGGTTGTTTTTTTTTCTTCTTGTAAAAAAAAGAGATGGGGAAAACAAAACAATTCAACGAAAGGAGATACGCACGTAAAAGTAAAATAATTCCGCAGTCATTTCGAACAAGAGAAAACAGAGACGCTTGGTTGTTTTTTTTTCTTTTTCGTACAATCACGGATACATCGGATAATAACGAGCATATGCATGTTGTGTGTGTGGAAGCACAAAGAAAATGATCTTAAATTATCTTCGCAAATATATTGTGCATTGTGCAACATTTGTAAATTGCAACTAGTTGACTGACTAGCGGTGCGTTACTAATATTCTAAGAAAGACAAATCTTCGCGTTCACCATGGTGTACGTGTTTGCATTGATGTGTATAATGTAATTTTTTGACCTCACTATATATAATACTTGACATTGTCGAGTTGCGCGGCGCACGCACGCGCATTTATGTGTTTGTAAATTGTAATCGAATGATAAATGGTGTGATCTGTAACGCCGGTAGTAGATAACAGTAGTTGAGAGATATTTTAACGTTAACTTCGTATCGCGAGACTTTGCAAAAAGATTGAGAGAGTCGCAATTATCGCAAACGCCCCAAGGCCTCGTGTGGGAGTAACGGACGACAAGAAGTACTTTAGTACGAAGTAGATCCTAGGAAGAGTGATGTTTTTTTTCTAGACGTCCGCTTCCGTGTCGCTGGTGCCGCCGTGGTTTCCCTGAGGCTGAGAAAGGGAAAGAAGTGCATCCAAACAACCTCAATCACTCTCAACCAGATCTGACATGGATCACGACTACTATTGTTTAATGAAAAAACAAAAAACAAAAGTTGGTCTAAAATGATCCAGTGTCTAATCGGCAACGGCCGTTTAATGAACATAGAGATATATATGAAATAAAAATGTGGGACGAACAAAATACAATACGATCCGTGCACGTGTACATTTACATATATCGCTGACATGCAACTCGTATCTCTAAATAAAATGTAAAATGTGCGCGACTCTTCAATATACACACGACGAATAATCATACGTACGCAATCTGAAATAGACTTATAAAATTACAAAAAACAAAAAAAAACAAAAAAAAAACAAAAAAAAAAAAAAAGAACAGGAGCGAACGGTATGTGCGCATGAAATTTTATGTTTTCCCGGACACTTTTTTTCTTACCGATGCACTTTGATCGGCGTCTTTACAGTTGCTACATATATAATCGTCTTCTTCCGCGATATCAGTGCGATCCAATCCGACACAGTGCATATGGAACCAACCTTCGCAGCCACCGTCGCACTGAACCCAATCAACTTCTTTACCTGAATAACACAAAACGAAATAATACTTACATAAAAACAATGCAAAAAGAAAAAGTTCTAGTAAAAACAAAACAATAACTGCGGGTGTAATCAAAGTATTATCAAAAATGTGCAAAAATAATTTGTACATATATATATAACGACATTATGTGATTGAAAAAAACTTATGTACACAATCACAGATATATATATTTATTATGAACATTGCTTTTATTATATACTGTGATATATTATTGAGTTATATATGTATATGAAGAACAACATTTGTATATGCATATAATATCACTAAAAATTGTCCTTCTGTAGTAAGTGTCTACGTAGAACTCGTGGAAATTGTAGGGACGACAGAAATTATAATTATAGATCTTTCTGTAGGATACACAGAATTTAACGTATTAAGACACGTTAGAGACATTTCAGCAATGTCGTTCTTACCACTAGGCCGTAAGCAGTTTTCCGCCGCGCAGTCGTCTTCTTCGTCCGAGCTCTCTTGCTTGGTCTTCTTTGTGCGATTACCACCTCGTTTCTTAGGTGTTTCCTCACCCTCGCTCTTACGTTTCACCTGCAATTCGCATTTAATTGAAAACGAGCTGTTTCACACAAAAAAAAACCGCGAAGTGGAGCATCTCTTATAAGTCGTTTCGAAAAAAAGAGAACTTTTTATAATTCATCGTTTTACTTCCAACGATTAAATCTCCGTTAAAATATTATGTTTTAGAGTCATTAAATTTTTATATCGTATTTCAAAGTGGAAATTTTTCATTTTAAAAGTTCATTAAAAACATTTTATGTAACATTGTTTATTAAAGAAACAAATACCTTTCGAGGTCCGCGCTTAACGGGGACAGGCGAATTGCTCTGCCTCTTCTCCTTGGCGGCCGGATTGCTCTTGCTGCGCTTTATCACGGTATTCTTCTCTTCGATCTTCTTCACAGGTTTCTTCAATAATTCCAACTCCTCCGATTTTCTCTTCCTACCACGTTTCTTGACGTCTTTCACTTCCTGAGTGGTGTTCGTCTGAATCTCTTCCAGCGACTTGTATTTCCGCATTGTGTTCTGATTGTTGTTCATGTAACTCAAGATACGCCAGATCTTTTGCGTCTCTTCCAGTTCGATCTCCAAAAGATCGCCCTCCATCATCAATTCCTCCAAACGCGATCTCGCGCTTTGCGACAACATACTCAACGATTCGCCGTCACTCGATTGAGTTTTCCGCCGAACCTTCGAGACTGAAACAATTCAATGCGATGAGACAATTTATTTATTTTTTCTGAGTACAAAATAACCTTTAAACATAGTCGTTTAATACATCGTCTATTACAATAAAAAAAAATTAACTTACTGTATGAATATGCATGCTCATTACTGTTGAAAGTACTACATGACGGTTCAGCGTCAATAATATCGTCGTCTTCATCCTAAACAAAAAATGCGAGTATTGTTAATATTTTTAAATATTCATATATGAATCATGACTATTTATAATGTAACCTTTGACACTCACGGCAGCACTGAGCGCGCTATCATCCGAATGTGCTCCACTGGCAGACGCGATGTTTTGCACTCGTTGCTGCAATTCGGAATTATTCGCTACTTTCTTCAACTCGCTGCTAATGATTTTCTCCGTCTTTTCCCTTGCCGCCGCTTCTACCAACTTTTGCGACATCATGTTGAGTTTCTTGTTTATCGTGTCTACCTCTTGAGTTTCAAATAATGTCTTCACTCGAGCCTAAAATTAAGATATGTTAATAACGTTTGACAAGCTGAAAAGACATGGTTTATTCATAAAGTCACAGCGCGTTATGAATGATGAATACGCTTACCTGCCAATTCATCGCTCGTTCTGTTAAGCATTGCAATGCTATGCCTTCCGGCAACCGGATCGGGATTTCATGGAGATTCAGTAAGAGGGCTAGTATCGTTTCCAGGCGAGGTCGACGTGAACGCAGACAATTCTGACACAAAAATCTCATGTCCTTCGGCGCTGGTGATTTACCTTTGTTGAACATCTTAGACAAGGGTACACAGTTTGCTGCAAAATAATCAGACAATTAAACGTTAACAAACATCTTTCTTGCTGTACTTTGAAACGTCGTGGTACTATATTTACTTACTGTGAAACCAGTCTTTGCAGAGCTCACATTGAAACATAATGCCGTATCTCGGTTGCTTACAATGACAGTATTTCGAATCTTCTTCCGCTTTCATTTTCAGCAGGTTTCTCTCTCTCAAACTTCTCATCGCATCCATCTCGCGTTGCTGCGCCACTCTAAAAGCAGCTACCACGTCTGCCTGATCACTGGACTCGTCCAATTTAGTATCACAGACATAAACGGCTCCCACGCTCTCGTCGCCTTTGTTGTTCTTTTTGGTCTTCATCGCTTGCACGCCAACGCCAATTCGCGGCGACAGCACTTCCATCAACGTGTATCGCGAGTTCTTTCTAAGGAATGTCTTTGCCGTCTTCTCTTTCCACGCTTTTGCCTGCGACAAAGTGGTTTCCAGTTGCGCGAGGGCGTCTAATTGCAACGGGATGTTCTTGCCTTTCCTTATCATATCGTCCAAAGTATCGTAAAAAGGTAAATTGTTTTCCTTCGTTGCTTCTTCCACCATATTTGTCCAGTTTTTCGCTTTGCTCAACACATCCTCGAGATTGTCCAAACTCGGTAGATACGCCTGAACTTTATTTGCCTCTTTAATAAACTCCTCCACTTCCGCGATTGTGCGTTTAGACTTGCTTTGCAAGAACGCCGTAGTTTTTTCTTCCCATTCATCGATCTCTTTTGTTAACGCGTGTAATTTCGTCAGAGTGTCCTCGATACTAAAATGAGGTGGTATTGTTATGCCTTTATCGATTAATTTCGCTAATTCTTCCCGACTGACGGATTTAGGATCGTCCTGAAGAGACTTCACTTCTTCCAGCCACTGTATTTGTGTCAATCTCTGGAAAAATTAAAAATTCTTCAATTAATGTCTGTATTTATATTTTAACAATACAAAACTATTTTACTTGTTATTGTGATTATACATACCTGTTTCAATCGTACTAGTTCAGGAAGTTCAATGCAGATAGAATCACCAAAATCGATACACTTCTCAAGTTTCTCGATGTCACAATTTTCTTCTTTGGAATCCAATTCTTCCGCATCCTTTTGGAACTGTAATACTTGATCGAGTATGAACTTTACACCGTCCGATTCTTTAAGCTCACAGCAGAGATTGGTTATTTCCTTGTAGAAAAGTGTCAATTCTTCTACTGTCAGTTTGTACTTGGTATCAACTGTATGCCTAGTCCTATGTAACAGAGTTATAAACAATCAAATAAAATTATGTACATGTACAGAACATTTATATGCAAATAAGAGCTTTATAAATTCTTCCAACCTGGTACGTTGCTTGTTATTTAAGAGCTGTTGCGCAACACTGGCACACTTCTCAGCATCCTGCACAGCAGTTGTCAGAGCAGTGAGCAATTCACTGTCAGGAAACTTTTTGTTTTCCGCCTCGTTCAGCAATTCCTTCAGTTCGCTCAATTCAATTTTATCGCTTTTAGGGTCCATTGCTTCCTTCACTTTGGTCACCCACGAGTCAAACGACTCAGCCTTAAGTTTCAACTTTTGCAACATGGTGGGCAATTCATCCAATGTATATCTGTATCGCAGAGTATGCTTTTCTGGTGGACAGTCGCACAGGTCAGAAAAATGTCTTAGACAAACCAACTGTGAGCTGTGACACGAACATGTAACCGCACTGAGGAAACAGGTGGTCTTACACGCTTCGCACTGTCTCTCATCGTCCGGTAGAAGCTCGAAGTATTCGCGTACTGCTTTTGTTACACCCTGTTGAGCAGAACAGATTTTTCAGACTTAAAAACACAACAAATCTCTGCGGACCTCATTGTCACTTAAAACCTTCAACGCGAGATTCACGCACAGAAAATAACGCGAAAAAGTACAATATCGCATGCAAAAGTGCATCTCACTGGGCACACATGTATCCATCTGTGGATTAATCAAGGGCGACGCGTATGGCGAGATTTGGCGGGTCCATCGCGCGAGCAACGCGACGAAAACGCCGCGAGTGTTTCCCGCGCGAACGCGATCGTCCGTAGAAAAAAATCCTGCGAAATAGCAGCGAGGGCTGAAAAAACTGCGCGTTTAGCATCATATCGAGAGATTTCGAAAACATAACCTCCCGTACTCACCTTTTAATATGTAAGCAAGTTACATAATCTAATTCGCCGAACGAATAATCATCGGCCGGTCAAGGCAAGCCGACAGCCACGACGGCTATTTTCAATGACGATCGCGAACAATAACAACAATAACGAAGATCAACAGACTCAATAAAATCGAAAAAGAGCGAAAGTACGTGGCGGTACTGACGACTTGTAAACGTGAATGGCGCGATTCCGCCAGCTCAAACACGTCTAGAACGGTCGCGAGTCGCGAGTAATGCATGAGAGAGAGATTTTACCGCGCGCCTGCCTCGTATTGTGTGTATGTGTGTGCGTGTGTGTGTGTGAGTGTGAACGTAAGCGCGCAGCGTTGGCATCCCAATGTACTACTTGGCCTGAATAAGTTGACCTCCCGTTGGAGCAGAGATATTATCAGTTGCTCAAATGTTAGAGATATTCTCTTCACTGTATTGGAAACAAGACCGTATTTGTAACCCGCATTAAGCACAATCATTGATTCACAGCGCGAAAACAAGTAATATGCAAATATAGATTACACGTGATGTGATAAATAAAACTTGGAACAAATCGGAGCGGCCATGTTTAACTCAGTATATAAAACACTCATTCATTTTTAGATTAAATCAAATGCTTAAAATACTCATAAACAGTGATACTGATATATATATTTATACGAGAATATGATATTATAAATAAGTGCAATGTAGATTAAATTAAAAAGATATTTTTTTATGATTTGATACTTTTTTTTTTTTATTTGATGCTGCGTGTGTATTAACATTTGTATTAACATTCGAAGATGTTTTTTTTTTTTTAGGTTTGAACTGTGTGTGTCATTTTTATACCGACGTTTCGTGAACATTTCAGCTCAAACCAGCGAGAAACATTTTCGAATGATATTTATAATTATAGTCATGCACACCAGAGTATTAAAACAAAAAAACAAAAAAAATTACTAATCTCACGTAAACTCACCCAATCTAGCAGATTTTTCCGTAGTTTTTTCTCATCCTCTACCATCTGCAGCATGTCGTAATAAGTAGCTGTTGCTACTCCAATATCTAATAGGTTTGGATCCAGAGACATTTTACAAACTAGCTCATCGTGGGAAAACACACAGAATCTTCTCAAATTTGAATAATGCGTGATGCACTCTCGTCCGATTTTTAGCTAAATAAAAAAAAAAACAATCATATTTGAGCTAAATAAAAAAAATTATATATCTAATATAATTCGTCTTATTTCTCAACTACACAGTCGCGTGGAATTTCAATTACATACTTAAACATTCTGACAACTGTGTTTATGCAAAAGTTAATCGATACGAATTAAATTTCGAGATAATTTGTTAACAGAGACCAAGTATAAAAAAAAAGTGATCGAATTTAAATTAAAACAAATTTACATACCCAATCCGCAGGTGCGAAATTGACAGCTTCCGCAAAATTATAACCCTGATTGAAACCTGCGTGATACGCTCTCGGAAATGTTACAACAAACTCGCCTGCGTGCTGATCAGTTCTGAACACTGGTACGCCTACGAAACAATTATCGGAGTAAATCAACACTGTAGATCGAAACTATTTTATAATCGTGCAATATTTTTAACCCTTTCGTTACAAATGGCCATTATAGTGGCAGATTGCGAAATTATCTCTGTACAAATCATCATGGCATACAAATGACAACTGTAACGAAACACGTACAAACGCGCAACACCCAGCCCGTTGCTATGACTTATTGACACACATTGATGTTTATTTGTCTGTTATTAAAGAACAAAACAAAATCGACATGAAATGTTTTGGTTTTGTTTGCTGTACGTAAGTATAGATGTATTCCTCTCACTCTTCGGTGCGGCAAGTTGAGATAGAAGATTGATAGATCGCCGTACTCGGTGATGGCGGTCAATTTCGCCGTCGCGCGAAGAACTTATATGTTTTAAATTAATTGAACGAAAAACAAAATATACAAAACCAATAACAGCCGATGCTGATAACAATGCGCATACATTTTCATTTTTATTTTTTCTTAAGTTTACTTAAATTAAGCTTCTCAATTTTATTCACTGGCTATTGTACAAGAAATATACATATCTTCAAAAGTTGTTTTTTTTTACTGCTTGTGATATCCCTAGTCCATGAGACGTCAATTAACGTATAATGTACCTACCTTCATTCGTTAGTATATTAGGATTCATGATAGTAACAAGTTGATGCAACAGATCAGGCTGACTGTGAAATAGTTCTGGCGCGGCGGATTTCATGGACTGTTCGAAACGTTCCGCCTGAGAGCCTGGGACTCCGTACCACGTCTTCGGCTCGCCCCAGTGCAGATAATTGATGGAATAGCTCCAGTGATCTTCGTTGTGCCAGCAGAATGTTGCGAAGCACATACCGACGTACATCCAGGGAACTTTCATGCCGCTTATATCGGCGTTAATGTGACCCAGAACGCTGCCGCGCAATATCGGCAAATTATTCAGATTCCACGACGATTCGGCGTATTCTTGATCGCAAGTGAATAAGTTAACGCTAGTTTTCGTCGGGAATCCAGACCCGTGATCCATTGTATGCAAATCGGCGCCATATTCGACAGTTACGTCTTCGTCGATGGACGATACTATTCGCCAAAATTCTTTTTCCACCAAAGACGTCGGGACCATCTACGAGAGAATTATTAAATATCAAAAATAAAATTACGATTACGATAAAGAAAAAAAAATGAATGTTTTAATTGTTTAATATATAGATGTTTAATACAACACAGCTACAAAAACTTACATGTACTGGCATATTGAAATAATCGCTTTTGAATTGATCAGCCATTTCTCCGAATTGCTGTAATGTGTATTCTCTCTGCGCTTGTTCGAAGCCGAACGCCTCCATTGGCTTCGAGACCTCTTCAGCGACGCACTTAGGACACCGCCAATCGCCCTTCGGTATTTCCGTCAATGGTGGCATAAGGCAAAAAGTGTGATAACTGTCGTCGCAACCGTCGCAGAGTAACATGTTCTCCTCATTGTCGCCTCTCCCGCAATTGTGACAAATATATTTCGCTAACTAAAACAAGAGAGAAAGAAGAAAAATATAAATAACATTAAAAAAAAACTATACTATATTTATTGTGCAATTATAATATGCATTCAACGTGAAAAAAACGCACTTACCGGATCGAATTCGTAAACAAGCTTTAAACCGCGCGTTTTGTTAGATTTCTTCGCCTCTTTGGTATTAAAACCGGCCATTTTGGGACCTGGGCCGTAAAACTGTAATTTCTTGAGTTCCTTACTCTTATCCGTGTCATTAAAATGCTTAATTTTTATCTTCTCCTTGCACTCATTGTCCGAATCGCACTCCTCCTTGCACTCGTCTTTAATCGACACATCCTGCTTCTCTTCTTGTCCAGAAAATCGCTTGGATCGTCGTGAGAATTTCTCGTTCGGAGGTTTGATCTGTTGCCGCGATATTATACCGTGAGGTTTGTAATCGCGATCTTTTTTCTCATTTTTTTCTTCGGATTCTGGTTCAATTTTCTATAAATAAAACATATATATACTATATTTAAAATAATATATAAAAAAGACATGAAATATAATATTAATATAATACAACACAAAGAAATATACAATATAAATTTGTAATGCATAATTTTTTTATATTTATAACGACTAATTACACAATTACTGATTTTCTTTTACGTAAATATTTTTGCTTGTTGAACTTTGACTTACAATATCTGACAATGCTTTTCCTTGTCTGAAGACGTCAAAAGGATATAAAATTCTCTCGTAGTGTCCTTTCAATATACTGCCCACGCTTCGTCCGGACGGGTAACCCAATTTGTTGGCGATTTTTGCCCATCTTCTTTCCTTCGTTACCGTATCTATACCGCCTGAAGGCAATAAAAAAAAAAAAACAAGGAATTATTATCGTGATACGATCACGATGCAATCACACGAAACCGACGAATAGAAATAAAAGTTATAAATAGAACTGACCTTCCTCGGTAACTATTTTATGCAACGAATACAAATCCAGAGCCTTCCGTTCCACAAGCGGAATCTTCAAGGATGAACCTTGCAGTTCCCAAAATTTTGCAATTTGGTCTAAAAAATTGAGTTTAATCCTCGTTTTGGCTTCTAATTCGTTTAGCCGTTGTATTCGCGGAACGAATTTGAACTTGTCCACGTCCACGGCGAAAGGTGGCTGCCAATTCTGCAAAGAAAAATGAAATATCTTGCGTAGAGAAATATCATCTCGCAAAACGTTTTGAGGAATCTTATTTCGGCCAAAAAAAAAAAAAAAAAAATATTTCCTGATGTTGCGAAGCACTGGAACAAAAAATAAAGTCCTTCAATTTCAAACTCGACTGAAACGGTCGAGCACATGACGAAACTCATCATTTATTCACCGAGCTGGACATCCAGTGCTACTTAGGGTCGCAAACTAGAGACGCGAGCTAGTATACGTGGCCCTTACTTTATTGCGATAGCGTAAGGAAAAGAGGATAATAATTCCAACAAAATTTCTTTCCTTTCGTATCTTGTCTCGTTATTATCGGACTACATTCGGAAGGAAATATCGGCCGTAATTGATATCCTTGATGTACCGAACCGTTATTCGATGTTTCACTTTGTGAGTACACGCAACAATAAATAATTAATATACCACTTTGCCGAGATGCAATGCAAAACGTCACGTAAAACATGCAACGGGCACAATCGTCGCGTTCGTTTTTCTCTCTAGTGTCTTAAAAAACAAAAAACAAAAAACAAAAACAAAAACTAACAGCACCTTACTTATTCGATTGTTAGAATTGCGGCTTTATTCGTAACGGATTTTAGACTTGCAAGTCTTCGTATTGTTAACAAGATACGGATTCTCTTATATAGATATTTTTAGGCGTGTATTATTAATCGATATCGCACAAATGCGAGTCGCATAATGACACATCAATTTAATTAACATTTTTTAACGTGTATACATTGATATAGTAAAGTATCTTTACTGCACGATAAAACAGCGAGACGCAGGAAAATCGATAAAGGTTCCGCGGATCTCCTCCTTACGTAACGTCGTAATATCGTCCGCGAAAGTTGATTGAACTTGGAAAAAAGTGAGATAACAAAACCGCGGAACTTGACTCTCTTATAAAATACAAAATTGCTTAACAGATTTTGCATATTTTTTTTTTATTTCAGACATTTTCGCTCAATATATATATATATATATACACACACACATATATATATACAATTTCTTGAACTCGATTTCTTATCGCGAAACAAAAGCAAAGATAAAAAAAGATAAAACGATACAAACTGTGTCTAACTATTAGACACGATAATGAACGAACGCAATTTAAAAAGCGCGTATCAGTTTTGCAAGTTATTTTCATATTCTTGCAATATAATTAATATCGACCTGAATCTCGTAACTCAACAATACTAGCAATATCATAACAATGCAAAATATAATTTTGCAGTAGGCATTTTCTAAGTTTAACGTTTGTTTTACACTCAATGTCGCGGCATTAGAGCCATGTTGTTTTCAAGTGTCGTCGTTTTACGAGTCCTGTTGTGTCCATGACGCTTCCTTCTCTTTCTCTCTCTCTCTCTGTGACAACTTCCGCAATGGCGCGGCGTCCTCATGGAAAATATCAACTCTCTAGAAAGCTGAGTCTAGAGGTCTTCATCGAGACTATCCCGTTGTGTGTCTGAACGTTGTGCATCAAAGTGTAGCATACAACTCGAAGAAGGGGAAGATACCGATCAGAGCGAAATATTACCGCGGACTCGCTCGCGCGGTGAGGAGCGCACAACACGCGTGTGCGCGTTTTCCGTATGTGCGTTTTTTGATTTTCGGCGTCCAAATTTTTTTTTTTTCAATCCAACATGGCGACGCTCGGACAACAATCGAATATTTCGTGAAACTCAATGTTTTCGCGAAATAAGCACGTATCGGAGATAAAAATAAAGCAATGGGAAGTAAATCGTATGAGATCTACTCTTGTCTAAATTTAGTTTCTTGATTTATACATCAATGTCTCTTGTGGGACGCTCTACCCATGTTCTTTTCTGAACTTACTTTACAATCAAACGCACATTAGGACACACACATACACACTTGTGTGCGCACGCAATACAACTCAAAATTATGTCCGGCAGTTTGTGTTAATGTATATTTTTGTTACACATAAAAAAAAAAAAAAAATGTAAGACTGCGATATCTCAAATTTCTTTCAGGCGAAATACACTTTCGATTTGCGATCGAATATGTACCCAGATATACACCGTTCGGAAGTGCCGAAACTTGTTAGAACATGACGTCATCAATAAATGTTGATTTTACAAGCGCCCCCTTCCCCCCTCGTCAATTCCACATCGAAAAAACCCGCGATGTGAATGATAACGAACGACTTTCGATAATTCAGCACGCGCCGCGAAAGTTACAATGAAGTTCCTCTCGCACTTCAAGCGGCTGCACTTCGTTGATTTCGAAGCGAAGGTTCGCCGCATTTCACCTCGTTCGCTTTTCTTCTCGTGTGTACGCAATATATATTGGTTCCCACGAACGCGCAGCGGACATTGATTCGTTCGTGCATGTATGGGTTCGCATATGAGTCATCTTCTTGTAAAAAAAGAGAGAGAGAGAGAGAGAGAGCACGTGTTAATAACTGAGAAACACATGTAATTAAGAATCGATCAAACGAGTGTCAATTGTTGCGCGAACAAACAAAATGTGTATTTCCATTATTTCCATACATATTGTATTTTGGGAATGCGCGCGCGTTTTCCTGTTTCGACGAGCACTGATAAACACCAATTTACGCTGATTGCCTCAAAAGAGAACAGTTTAACATCGGTACACCTTCCTCGAAAATTTCACACATCACACACTCCTGCGCACGTTTATTAAAACCAATAAACAAAAGCAAATCTTCGAGATTTCTTCAATATCAAACGTGTTCTCATACACATGCAATATCAGATAAGATAACGTTTGATAAATATCACGATTGACAGTGAAAAAAAGTGTGAATAATATTCTAAAATTAATCCGCAAACGGAATGTGAAAATTACGAAATAATATGATGTACGTTTTGTGCAGAAAATATGTGTTTAGAAGAACAAAAACCCAGTCATCTTTCGAACATCAAAGGAGACGCGAACAGTAATCATCACGAGGACAATGTCACCGACATAATTTAAGTATCGATTGGCCCGCGTGCAAGTAAAAATCAATAATTACCCGAGAGAGTTTGATGGCGCTTTGATACTCTCTTCGGACACTTCGTAAACGAACGACGCAAACGTAATCGCGCGCGTTTCATCTTCGATGCGACTTTATTATTTACCGCGTACGCAATCTTTACGAAGTCGGTTGTACTAAACAAATCGGGACTTCGTTGCGAAAAGCGTAGAGTCTAAAATCGATAAATGCAAATTTTACTGACCAGAGAGAGAGAGAGAGATTTGGGAATTTTTTTTTTTTTTTTTTAAACTTGTTTTGATAAACATGAATATCTGACAAGATTTTAAATGTTGGAAAACGTCACACCCAAGCGGATAAAAACTATTTTTAACGAAACTACGTCATTAAAGATTTACAATTCGTTAACAGCGTGTTGTAAAAAATCGCGTGTCTCTTTTCCCGTGAAAAAACTATTTTCACGCCACACAAATTTAATACCCACGTCGTTATCCGTCAATCACGCAGATCGTGAAAATCAGCTCGAAAACAAGCGATACGATCGCGGCGATTCGCACGGCGTCAGGTGGAAAACGCGATTTTCATCATCATCACCGGAATTATTTTTCTCTTTTCATACAGACAGAAACAAGATGGAGGCAAATCGTTTCTAATGATGGCGTAAAATCGACGAGACGGATTTGTGTGACGGATGAATCGTGAGGCCATTTTTGCGAAGGAACAATCTCGTTCCCTTCGCGCACAAGGTGTGCGAAAAGATAACGAGAAGTTATCCTCGCGCGATCGCGAAGGTCCAAAATGTACACAAGATAGAGGAGAGCTCTCCGTTTCGGAGGGAAGTTCCTCTGTGAGTCCGAGTGAAAGGTGACAACACAGAGCGGAAAAAGAATTATGTCACGTGTGCGAATCGTGCGCGGAGATTCCCTCGCGATGTCAAAAAAAAAAAAAAAAAAAACAAACAAAAACGAAAAAACGCTCTACTTCGTGAGATCGCGCGCGGAAGCGGCGTTTTCGAATCGTGCGCGGAGATTCCCTCGCGATGTCAAAAAAAAAAAAAAAAAACAAACAAACAAAAACGAAAAAACGCTCTACTTCGTGAGATCGCGCGCGGAAGCGGCGTTTTCGAAGAACTGACGTCCTCACGAGGTGAGGACGGAACTTACCGGACGCGAGACGAAAAAAAAGGTTTCGCTCGGTTATTCACGGAAGTAATGCGCGCGTTTCGTCGCTGCGGCGATAACGGAATCCGTGCCGATAAAAAAAATCGCGAAAAAAAAAAAAAAAAAAAAAGAAAAAAATATCACGAAAACGGCCGAGCGTGTTTCTCTACTTTTTTCTCATCCGATGTCCCTGCGATTTCGTAATCACTCGCTGCTCGCTTCCACGAGGTGACGGCGTTTATTGTCTCGGCCATTTTACATGGCGGGTCTCGTCGCGTAATATCGTTAAACATGAAGTTACACATAACGTTCGCGCGTCGCGCACGCATTTTATATCCTTCTCGCGCGTTTCCCCGAATGCACGTCAGTGTTGTTAGCTTCATTTGCTCACTGTCATTGAATGTCATCAACGATGCGTGCGCGAGAAACATTGCCTCAAGATACATCCATTAAAACCCAAACGCATCAGGCACGTTACGTCTACTCTCGTCAGTTTTTCTCTCCTTTTTCTTTTTCTCTCTCTCTCTCTCTCTCTCTCTCTTTCATTCTAGCCTTCTTTAGATCCAGTGGTTTTTGTTCCATGGCGTTTTTCACGGGGGTCTGAGATTCTATTTTTTCCCGGTTTTCTCGCCTTTTGGGTTGTCTCGCGTTTCTTCGACGAACGTCCCGAACGGAAACGTCGTCGTTGTCGCCGCGCGTGCCAGTCGTTATTTCGCACAGATGAAGAAAATATGGAGACACACTGCGTAGAAAAAACGAACGTGCGAATATATACGCGTGTGTGCACATTCACCGCGGTCTGCATCGAACGCTCTCGTAGGGATTCACGCGGGGATCTTAATTTTTTGTTCCTTCTCCTTCCTCTCTTTTCGTCCTCATCGTCGTCGTCGTCGTCGTCGTCGTCGTCGTCGTCGTCGTCGTCGTCGTCGTCATAGGCGAGAACCTCGTTCTAATGCATCGTCCTGAAAACGAGGTCGGCGCGCTCGAGGATGCACAATTCCCTCTCTCTCTCTCTCTCCTGGTTCTCTCGCAGCGCACACCGTGTACGTTGCCCTTAACGTCATAACGCGTGAGAAAAAAAGGATCGATCTTATTGTTCTTTTTCTCGCAAACGACGACAATGCTGACGATGACAACAAGGAGAGACAACGCAATATCGATAAGATCGCAAAGAATAAAGGGCCGCGTATATCCGGTCGCACTTCCGCTCGAACTTCTCTTACTCACAGGCGGTGGTTTGATCTTGCAGATGCCGGACTGCTCGGCGATCGGGCGTATCTTCGCGATGTAAGCCAGAGGGTCTAGAAACTCGTCGTTAGTGGGCTCGAACACCGGTGCTTCTGGCGGCACCGTGAACTCGAAGTCGTTCTCCGCGCGTTCCATGTCTTGTGTGTTTTGGGCGCGACGACGAACCTCTTCTATTCTCTCCTCTCGCGTACTGCGAAACGACAATTGTTGTTCGGGATCCCGTGACACTCACTCGGGAGACACGCTTGTTCAGCGGCTGGCTCGTACGCGCGTACGCACCGCTCTTTAAATCCGATCCCTCGCGTCAGAAGGGCACTAACATCGGGCTACGTGATTACTTGACCCGACAACACGACCGCGTAACCACGTAACAGCGACGAATTCCCGGACCGATCATGTTTCTGTACGCGTGTACGCGAGATGCACTATTGGATGTTGCTTGCTGACAACGAACGGGAACGCGTGACAGACGCGTTTCGCTTGGATGCAACATCGACGACAATCAGACCCCGTTGGCAAGATTCGCGCACACCGCTACTTACGACGACTGATCGTTTCGCTCCGTGTTTCTCATCCCCTCGCTCCGCTCCGCTGCACCAGTGCCATACGCCAGTGGCGCCACCGACGATCCCGTAAAGCACCGACGATTTCCGTAGAAGCACGAGCAGCTACTTGCATATACATATATATATAGATTATATATATATGTAAACTTGTGATGATTGGTTAGATTTCTCATCCTCAATTCTAAAAATAAAAAAAAAATTACATATAGGTTATTTGTCTTACTTATCTCGCGCGTGCAATGCGTGCGAGTATTTATTTCGAAAACTCTATTGCTTATTTTCCTATCAACGTGGACCTAATATACTTATATAGGAGGTACACAGCAAATGTTTTACATTTCTCAAAATCTGCGAAAATCTGTACGATTGAGAGGAGACAGCCGGTGATCGCGTTCGACCGCCATCTTGTCGTTTTTGGACGCGTTACATGTGCGCAGGGGCAGCATATGACGAGCGAGCGCACGTGGAATAAGGAAAACTGAACTCGATGCGCGTTTTCGTTTTGCGTCATCGTGCAATGCGTCAGCGGATCAGTTGCATGGATTTTCTTGAGCGTAAACAGAAGAAAATATGAATATGTATGTTTGTACACATGAACGTGCGAGAAATGTTAGCGAAACCACGCGATATTTTTTTTGATTAATTAAAGCAAAATCGACAGCGCCTGCGCAGACTTCGATCCGACGGCGGAAGACGGTCTAGATTGTTTCCTCACGACAATGAACGCGAGCGAGCGGCGATAGTAAAGGCCATCACACATAAAATTACTTCAGACCGTAAGCGTAACCTAAGGCTGCGTTCGGAGAGCACGCTATCAATGTTATTGCGTCATTCTATCTTTGTTTTACATCTAATGAGCAATAAAGATAGAATGATGCAACAGTGCTGATAACGCACTCCCCAAACGCAGCCTAAGAAAATTAACCAATAAGAAATTTACATCCGAAAAAGTGATGGCAACTTAATATACATTCTGATTGGTCACTTTTCTTACGGCTACGTATTACGGTCTTAAGTAATTTTAAGGGTCGTCTACAATGGAGAGTTGTAGGCCGTAACAGTAAGAAATTGACAAATCACAATCGATTATTCTTCTGTACTTTGCCTGTGATTGGTCACTTTCTTACTATTACGGCCTACAACTCTCCATTGTAGACGGCTCTTAAAGGGTCGCATACAAATGTATCACGGTTAGAGTCCGTGCTGGATCCACTTTCATTCGGTTTGAATTCGTGCTATATCCACTTTACTAGATACGTCACGCACACGGACACGGTTTCGTTTGTGTGTGTGCCTCCATATCACCGATGCTCTCGATGCTTGGCAGAGTTCTACTTATCGACAGTAAAAGTCTTCGTAGTTCGCGAGTTCCGCGCAAAATGGAACCCGGCGCTGAAGTGGCGGCTGGAAACCGTGGTAAAAAACAACAATGGCATGGTCGCTCTCAGTCTTTTCTTTTTGTCGAAGCTTACACCATGGCTCCCACCACCTCGGTCCTCTCTTTCTCTTGGTGCTAGTCGGCCAGAGTTTGCAACACTGGTCTCATGGGGCTGGAGCGGAGTTTGCGGATGGACTCGTGGTGAATTGCTGTTGAACGTGTTCGGAGATACGCGATTTTCTTTGAAGAACGAGTGTGTTTGGCCCGCACAATAATTCACCTTATTTTATCGTTGCCGGTCAACCTGAGATCGTTTATTAACGCACAGTGTGACATAACCTCCTCCTTCTCTCTTTACAGGTGAGCCATCCGTTCTCTCTCTTTCGCGTCGTCGGGTGTAATTTGCAAATCGCATTTTCGCTCGTTTTTTCACGTAGCGTGAATTTTCTTTTCTCAACAACGATCGCCGTTAATTTTAATCAGCGACTTTCAGCGAAGGGTAATCGCATTTTATGACTCGATTTTAATCGCACGTTATCACCGAGACACATTCCTTATCTCTCTCTTTAATTAACTTGTAATACAACGTTTTTCGATAACTTAAACTCAATGAAAAGCGATTACATCTCTGAATTGTTGAACGAGAAATTTTCACGCAAGACGTTGATTTCGATCTGTTTATAATTATAAAAAGATCGATTTTAACGTCAGGTGAACTGAACTTTCTCTCTTTTTTACATATTTTGCGACAACACAACTAGAAACTAGAAAGAAACAATCACTCGATCCATCAATTAGTTGTCGCAGCTCCTACGTGTATTTGTTTTATTTTTTTTCACAGATGTATTTTCGTCTTTTTTCTCTTTCCTCATCGTACAACGTACATTTCCTCCGTGCTGTGCAGCGAGTTCCTTTCAGCGAGTTTACAATCACACATATGTTACAAGGCTGCTCCAGCTCTGATAAAAAGGAACGTTCTTTATAACGATTGTTCGCAGCTCCGCTTTCTCGTGACAAATTGCGGAAGGAAGAGAACGCGATATTATCATTATTTTGCGTTATAAAAGTGAAAGATGATTCTTTGTCATCGTGTTGGATAATCGCGAGAACGTGACGGATATTTATGCTTTTTTTTTTTTTTTTTCCTCCGCGCGCTCTTCGGTGAACGCTCTAATTAATCGTGATTTATCGTCATTGATTCAATTGGAGTCAATATCGACTCCCGACTGAGAATTTGCATTATCGAACGCGTGATACGAGACGAGAGAAAAAGGGAAAAGTTTTCACATAATACAACACAAAAACGTGTTGCGTTGTTCTGTTAAAAATTATGCGACTTCATTTTTAAACATTGAATTTGTTGCGCGCACAGCGTATATCGAGATCCTTGTTTTCATGATCTTTGGACGGAAAATTTATTCGAACTTTTTTTTATTAACGCGCACAAGTGTAATTTCAAGCGCGGTTATACCGGTTTGATGAATAATCGGAATTGTGTTCTCCTTTTCCTTCCCACGCTTCTAAAGAATATTATAACGGGATTCTCCTTTCAGGATTTCCCGGTATTTCGATATTGGAATTTTCTGCATTTTCGCGCGAAAATTTTCTTCCGATCACACGCGTGGATTTCGAATTTTGCTCTGCGTGGAAACAAAATTTTTCGCAAAAATTACTATAGTACTTTTGCGTCATTAACAAGATGAACGTTTTTTAATCTTTTTATAATGAAAACTGAAGAAGACGAGAATTACATCGTGCGATATAACGCTGAGGAAAACCAAACTGTATCGTAAATTAAAAAAAGAAATACGTAAACAACTCATGTACAGATAAATAAATGAATATAAATATAAATCGTAGATAAAAATTTCTTAATTATCTCTTTCTTCTTGCAAACTTTAATAGAGCTTAACGAAGATTGCTTAATGTGCGATATATGTATTCGTATTTCTAGCTTTTTGGCTAGAAATTTGCTTTGGCTAGCTTTCTCGATTCAGTGAATTTGAACCGTGTTTGCGGTTTCTGCGGACGAACTACCGTTGCGATAATAACGAGTCGTTTTTATCAACTCGATACATCCCGTTTAACGACGGGATGCGTTTGATTTTTTTTTTTTTTTTTTTAATGCAAGATAAAATTTAAAGTTGCGCCCCGTTTGGTGGTGTAACGCGGACGAGAGTGCGCGTTATGCAATTCTACAAGATTAGCAAAATCTTTCCACGTGCACACACATACCTAATCCTCGCGCGTTCGATAATTTCTACTATCTTACAGATAGCCGACGTTTATTTGAGCGCAAATAAGCGTTGGAAAAATGAAGAATGTTAGCGCACACTTTCTGCTAACGATACCAGCACGTTGTTGTACATATGATTGCGCGCACGGTTGGTTTTTCTCGCGTCTCTCTCGTGCGTGTTTCATTTGGTCGAAGAATTGGAACAATGACGTTTATTTAAACCACATGAGACGCGTTGGCTTGTACGCGCGCAGTTGTACGAACATGTGAATGAGATTCTCAAGTCAAGTGTATTTTTCTTCTCCGAACGCAATGCGAAATGTTGTTGATTGTCTCGTAAACGCGAAGTTCAGCTCTCTCTCTCTCTTAACGTTGTTACTTGTATTATAAATTACTTACATATTAAAATCATTTTTTTCTATACTGACAGAGAAGTACAAAAAATAACTTCTCTTCACAAATTGACACGACTAACACTCGAAGAGCTTTTAGAGTCGCACAATTGTAAAATTATTTATAGACTTGATTAATCTGCGGATCGAAGTTAGTCACACGCATATCCTTGTTACGTAATTGTTACGTAATTATTTTCAGATTTTTATCATCATCAAATTATTGCTATAAATTTGTTTATAAATATCGCATGTTTATAAATAAAACATCTCATGTTTCATTATTGTACAATGCGTAATGTTTGTATCGATCGATCGATAAGATCCCGAACGAAATTTTTTTTATGCGCTTGTGTTTCTTATCGCGATGTCGTTACAAGTATGATATTCGTGACATTGATGTGGTATATGTGGGAGCACGTTGATAGAAAGAGAGAGAGCTGATAAAGTCACACACACCGACTTCCTTGATGTTGTGTATTTATTATATCAGAATCGCCGCACGAGAGTGTCGAGAGCGCCGATTAAGACACAAGAGTACACTTACGTTAATAACGGACATATTTTAACATTTTAATTGACATCGGATAATTTGCGTGTGTGTGTGTGTGACTACTTATTTCAATATTATTCAACACAACGGATATAAAATAACGTTAATAAATAATATTAATATTATTAAAATATAAGTAATATATTATTAACACATTCGCAATCGGCAACATAGTCCTGCGTCATTTTAAAATTTATTTTTATTTGTTTAAAAAATATACAGTGTAGTTATGATGAAGCAATATTTTGTACATCCTTAAATGGCAGAACCTTTGCGTTATATTCAGGTAACACCTCGCTTTAAAATCGCCGGTGTCGCGCGAATGTGTTAATTAAGTAATTTTTCAAATTTGTTCAAGTCAAATAAACAGAGAAAAATGAGAAAAATTACTTTGTTATCTTTTCTTTTTTTCTCATTTCAAGTTTTTTCTCTTTCTCGCGCGAATTTGCATTTTCTCAGCTGTGTAATTGCAATATCTCTTCAGATATCACTTGGTTGACTGTGTTTAAATATTTATATACTGTTACAATGCGGCACACCGTCAAGAACAACGCGTAATTTTAAGAAGCAAATCTTGTCGTTGTTATTGAACCATGTCTCCTTTTGTGGTTTTCCATCCGCGGAGCAATCGTTGACCGTCTCAACTCGAAAGTAACGAAATATCGCTCGAAACGGACGAGATTAGGTCAGGTATTCAGACAATTATTATAACGGAAAGTCAGTCGTATATACGTACATACTTCGCGTTTTTACGTTTGCGAGAAGTGTGATATATTCACCTGGATGTAGTCTGATTTAGAAAGTACGCCAACTCTCGCGGTCTTTGCCGCGGTTTTTGCTCGACTCGTCGAGTCAAACACTCAGGAGAGACTTCGTCTTCGCGATAGCGTCAACTTTGAAACAAGTTTGTTGCAAACAAACAAATTTTAACAAACAGAAGTAAATTATTTTCTTTTTTTGTATCTCAAATCATTTGTTGAGAGAAAAGTGTTGTACTTGAAAGAAAATTGTTCAGAAATTTGGCGAATCGTAGAAGGTAGAGAACGTTCAACAGCAAGATGCAAAAATGACCGACGACGTAGCGTGTGTACAAGTGATTGGATATCTTTTGTATTACAGCTCATGTGTGTTCAGACACACACGGTTTGTGAGTTGTCAGGTTATCGAGAGAGAGAGAGAGAGAATTACACGTGGTGTTATTTATCGTACGGTTTCAAGTATGATACTATAATGTGTTATACTACTGCGATTCTACTGTTTATTGAAATTTCAATATCGCACGCGTTGATCTATTTGTCACTATCAGACAGAGTAGTTTACTACTGTAAAGATTAATTACTATTTGTCACTATCAAACAGACAGTTTACTACTGCAAAAGATTAAAAGTTACTTATAAACTGTCAGAGAGAAATAATCCCCGATTTCTTCGAAAGACAACAAGCGCGAGAATGGATTTGCGATGCGCGTGTATATATAATAATATATAACACACGCGTACAGGTTTTAAAACTTACGGAGTAGGGTTGTTTGCTGATGTTTTTTTATTGTTTGGATTTTCAACTACATCGCAATCGCAATTGCGAAGAGTGATGAGAGAGAGATAGAGAGAAAGGTAATAAAATAATCGCGTAACACAAATCCAGAAAGGATGAGTATGAAAAAGTTAAATGATAGTTTCGACGAAATCTGAATTCCGACTACTTTATCAATCTTATCTGTAACCAAGTTCTCTTCTTGGCCGTAAGGTTGAAGTATCAATAAATAATAATAATATAAATCTCTCTTATCTGCTCTACATTCTTTCTCTCTCTCTCTCTAAGACACATCTCTCGTATAAAATTTCGAGATAGCGCGTGTAATTGATGTAATTTGAACGCGCAGGATTTCTCATCAACAATGTCTCACGATCACACAAGTCACACGATGACAAATGCCACGTCTCACGATGTCCACATGGCTCACATGGACCACGGGAGCATGAATCATGGAAATATGGATCACGCGGGTATGGTTCACGAAAATATGGATCACAACGAGATGTGCAACAACGACATGCACGGTATGAAGGTACGTATTACTTCGGGGTTTCATCGGGTTCTCTCGGCACGTTGTAATTATACAACTTCATTTTTTTCCGGATCCCCAGATGACATTCCACGTCGGTTACTGCGAGAACATACTCTTCGAGAATTGGAAAGTCTCGACGGTCGGCGGTCTCGTCGGATCGATGATTGGTATTGTTATTATGGCCGCGCTCTACGAAGGTTTAAAATATTACCGGGAGTATCTTTTCTGGAAAACGTACAACTCGTTGCAGTACAGAAGCGTCACGGTGCCAAGTGAGAAGAATGTAGTAGCCGAGGATAACCGAGTTGTTCAGTAAGCTACAGAGTTTCCACGGTAAAATTGAAATCCTGTAAAAAGTGTTTTAGTTTGTTCAATTTGTTAAAAAAAAAGAACGCGTGCGTAAGGATGCTCACTGACGTGAATATCCTTACTTAATATATCAAAAATAGTTTTTGCAGGATTATAACTAAAACGCTTGAACGATGTGTACGTATTAAACTTAGATTGCGAAAGTCTAATTGTAAAATACAAATTTTGTTTTTTTAGTATGGTTGGCGAAGTAATTCACAAGCAACCGTAAGTAAATAACCGCGAGATATGTTGAGTTTTTCTTTATTTATTGCTTTATTTGTTCTTTCTCTTGCGCGCAAATCGCGTAAATCAAATAACAGAAACTTATGCTCATTTGATTTTCTTCATTAAAACTTGCATGTGATATACACATCTATACATATAATATATTTGCATGTGATATATATATACGGAATTTTTTATAAAATTGTTGTGAACAAAATTTATGAATCTTTAAATCTTTTGTTGCTTCGATTGGATCTTTAAATGTATGAGAAAATGAACGAGATGTGTCACAATTTGTGCAGGCCAACCATGCTGTCCTGGATGCATTTGTTTCAAACGTTTCTACACATAATTCAAATCGTGCTGTCTTACTTTTTGATGTTAATCTTCATGACTTACAATGTCTGGCTGTGCTGCGCGGTGGTACTGGGTGCTGCCACTGGATATTTCCTGTTCGGCTGGAAAAAGTCAGTGATCGTGGATGTTACGGAACATTGTCATTAGCATTCAGTAAATTGCTCAACTTTATTCTTCCTAAATTGCGTGCAAACATGCGTGCAATGATGTATTCCGAAAAAAAAAAATTCGCCGGAATGTAAAAAGAACGTGTAAATTACGAACACAGTGTTGCATTCTGCGTAACTAAAATTTATATAAAAACTATTTTATTGTATATAATTTTATAACACACAATACAAAATGTTGTAAATTCTGAAATGCCACAAGGTTTATAGAAGATTTTTTACCAATTCGAGGATCTATGATTTCTGGCAAGGTGAATTTTTAAAATACCACCAACATACGAGGCGGCGAGATTAAAATTCGTTATATATTTTTTTCGTATAAATTTTTTTCAAGGTTAAAAACATAACTTACAATTAGATACTGTTAAGAAAGATATGTTCATTCTTTAATATATATACTTTTATCATAAGATTTCTATTCATAACTATACCATGACTCGAAACTTTATACATGTCATAAAAAAAGATAGTTATAATTTCTCACACACAAAATGAATTATTATAGGAGAATTATTGTATATAGTTTTAAAATTCTTATATGTATATGTATACACACACACACAATTACATCATTGAACATGTGTTGTGTGCATACTTTTCCCAAATTTTATATTAATTTATCTAGTATACATTATTCAGTCTTCTATTACCATTTTATAAGAACTTTCATCTATCAAGATTTAAATTTTTAATATTTGGGAAAGGGTATTCTCTTCATCATCTTAAAAGAATTTTGAAACAACTTTATGTAAATCATTGTATACCACGTCGCCGAGAAATGACGTTGTAAAGTTCTTCATATGTAGTATATAGTAACTTAAAATATATAAAATGTTACACACTTATAATATTTTTTTCTTCTTTCAATTTGCCAGTATTCTTACTGCCTTCGATAAATTCAGTATTACTTATTTTAGTGTCCCTTTATAAATTGTTTATATTGTTAATAATCAATACAACATTATTTTTATAAACAAGCACTGTAAGTTTATTTCTTTCTTTTGTTTTTGCACAATCGATTTCCAGATTTATAAAATCTTAAGCCATACACACACACGCGCGCGCGCGCGTACACATATATATTATAGTCTATATTCTATAATATAGACTATACGTACATACAAGAAATAGCTGTGTATGTATTGATTAAGTATGTAAAAATAATAAATAATGATTGGCATATGCGCATTTTTTTTATATAATAGGACATGTCTATGTGCAGCAGTATATTTCTTTTTTTAAAAATAATTTATAAATTTCTCTCGCGTATAGAAAAACTTGGTGTGAGGATGATGCTTGTGATAACTATGTGATGAATAATCGTAACCTTGATATGATTAGTTTTTATGCATGACAATTTTATCTAACATTTACCGCGTTCTATATATGTATATATTATATATATATGTTTCCTTATACATATATATATATATATATTATTTAATTCTATTAAATTTTATTAAATTTGCGTGTATATCCCACATATAGCTGTATATAAAAAATCATGCATATCTTACGAATAACTTTGTTCTTCGGAAGTTACATAATTTTCTTTGCGCTGTATACAAACGCGTTTATAAAGAATTAAACATTTTGCAAATAAGATACATAGCCGTAGGAACGCATCGTAAAAAACGCTCACTTTCATGTAATATTAATTTTATAGAGGAAAAAATTATTCGATATATCCAATACAGGACGTTTTAAGAGCAAAAAAGAGTATATATCTATATATATCTATATATATCATAGATATATCTATATATATGCCGCATTTTGTACAACAGTTGCCAACTTTACTTTTTTTTTTCAATATTTTACTTAAATATAAATATATATATATATATAAAAGAGTTATATACGTTGCTTTTTACTGCTCTCATATGTCGCGAGAATAAGGCAGATTTAGATCATAAAGCTAAACTTATAACACTTGACGCCTATTCTTATAAGTGTATATATATATATAAATATACATAAGCAATTTTATTTTTATTACTACTAATATCGATATATCACAAGCCAATGATGTGTGAAACACTTAAAATACTGTCATTAGTTTAAGAGCTGCTTAAAGCATAGAATAGGACGTTCAACTTGACCTTACATCTTAAAATTCTTATTTCACAAATATCAATCGCAACATGTTATTTGTCTTATACAAGATCTTTGTGTGCTTTCACTTGAGAATATTCCAGTATAATTTACCAAAAGAGAAAATATATGCTCAGACCAGTTCGTCGTCAATATTATTATTATTTATTGATAATAATGTCAATATTATTATTTATTGATAATAATAATATTGTACACAAAAATGTTTCTATATGCTCTTTGGATAGGGAGATAAAGAACGAAAAGTTCAGACTGATTTTAGAAAAAAATTAAAATTATATATATATGTATATACACATATATATACATACACATACATATTCCATTTTTTCACAACCACACCACACATACAAATGTGAATATCAATAGACATTTTACCACCTAATGAAGAAAGTATTGTAGACAGGCAAGAGACATTCTCTTCAAATTATTTTGTTAGACCTAAAAACAAAGCCAAATGTAAAAGATAATATCTTTGTTTCAATATATATATAATTTATAAAAATATATATTGTTTCAAAAAGTAGTTAAAAAAGAATGTTTTATGTACTGGACTTTGGACTTTTTATATGATAAGCTCGAATATTCTGTGAATTTTAAAGTTTTGCACACCTGTGATATATTTATATATACAAATATATATTTATATGTCAAAAAATGACTTATCAACAAAGAAAATACAATCTTTTAAATTTATATACCGCATAATATCCTTACAGATCCTAAGTAATCATTTTTACTTGTTTGCTTGTTTCAAACATAAAGAAAATTGTTGACCAGCAAACTTTATGTAAATACTATATATTTATATGTTGTGTCTTCGTACTATACCTAATTAGCTGGCCACAAATGTAGATCTTAAGAAAACTGTACTGTGTATTATTTATTAAGAACATAAAACGGTTGAAATCACAAGCTGTGACCTACTCAGTGCCTGAAACAGGCATGCAGCAGCTTGTACGGTGCTGAGACTGTTGCTTCGAAAGATCGACAGTATCTTCTACTAAAGGTCGTTCTAATCTAGCTTCCAATCTCGCCCAAGCATCAACTGCCGCTCCAAATGCTGCCTCAACATTAGTAGCATCTTTCGCCGATGTCTCAACTAATGGAGGATTACCATTTTCTATACACCACGCTTGAGCTTCTTGCGTGGAAACTTGTCTTTCAGATTCAGGAACGTCCACCTATTGATATAAACATTTTCTTATACAATGACAAAGTATAACTTGATGACTGCACTGTTTGCTGACTTTGATATAATGTGTACCTTGTTGCCAACAACAATAAATGGAAACATGGTGCCTTCCTGAACATCCGCATACTTAAGAAATTCAGATCTCCATAATGCTAGATTCCTAAAACTTGTTCTATCATCTACCGCATACGTAAGAAGACAAATATCTGAGCCTCTATAAAACGGTGTTCTAAGAGTCTTGAATCTTTCCTGTCCAGCAGTATCCCATATTTGTAATGTGTATGCTTCGCCATTTATTTCAATATCCTTATTTAGAAATTCAACTCCAATAGTGTGAAAACTATGCTCGTCAAAGTGATTTGACACAAATCTATTCATAAGACAGGACTTTCCAACACCACCGTCTCCAAGAATCACTACTTTCAACAGAGTTGATCGTTGTGAATTTCGATTCTGAAGATTGCTACTGCCTCTAGACGAATTCATTGAATTATTATTTCCTGCCATTTTTCACCTATTTATTTATTTTTTTTTCTCGTTTCTTGTGCAGCAAAAAACAACTTTGTCAAACAACTTAACGCTTATTTGGCATAAACAAAGCCTCAATTAACAAAACGTATCTTCAATATGTGCGAATATATTCAATAACATATATCATATTCATTAAAGCTTCGTGTAAAAGTCTTCTCTTTGCTTGAGATTTGAAACGAAAAGCTTCTCGGTGCTTGATTCTCAATCGTGTCAAAGCAACACGTTATTGCTCATTATATATCCGTGGGAGGGTTTTCTTTTTTTCTCTCCCTCTTTCTCTCTTCTTCGCTTTTATATACAAATCAAATTGTAATTAAGACATGACGGTGTTCTTTGTGCGCCTCTTCGTTTTCTTTCTCCCTGCACAACTCTCAATCGACGAGATTCATCTCACCCCGCGCACTCAAAGCTTTAACAAACAAAACAAAACCAAACCTCTTTTTGTGTTGTTCACTTTAAAGTCACTCTGAGTTTTGAATTTAATTGTGTCAAAAAAATTGTCTTGTTACAATCACGACGCTCACAAAATAACGATCGAAAATGCAACACGTTCGTTCGGCATGTTTCTACGAAATATAAACTTGTATGTATTTCCAAGAGTTTTATATAAGAGAGCGGCGCTCTCTCTCTCTCTCACACCATTCGACGGATATTTAACGATGTTACAAACACTCGCGACTCTCGGTCATTTTTGGGCTGGGCGCAAAAAACATTGCAGACGATAAAAGACCGCCCATGGTGTGGAAATCGACCGAGAGAGCAGCTTTTCGTAAACATGGCGCTACTACCCGCGTATGTGTGTGCGTACATATTTATACATACCGCGATTAAGAAGAGTCGGTTGCGCACCGTTTCCGAATTTAATTATATCGCGGCCAATTATTCTGTTGAAAAACAATTGAAACCGATCGATCGCATTGGTTAGTCAAAACCGTCCAATCACGATTGACACGGTTAATTTGCTTCATTTCACATATGAGATTATATATATATATATATATATATATATATATATATATANTTGCAAGCATGTAACCTGTTGTGATCAGTGAGCGAACTTGAAAACCGCTCACAAACATGGCGTCCGATCACTGAACATGTTTAGTGATCGCTCACTGAACATAGTGCGTTCAGTAAAATTTACTCAACTGTTGTACAACTGTTGAGTTGCCTGAACGCACCCATAGTAATCATTTAAAGTTTCGATTGGTGTGCATTTATTATTTCTATGTGCGTCCAATCAAATTCTCTCGTTTTATTAAGTAGTTTGCGAAAGTGCTGCCAATATTTGATAGATATGAAATTTTTACGTAGGTGTTGGCACACATTGTGCAATATTTATGATTTTTAAGATCAAACGGGAATGCCCCCGGACTATGTGTCTGTCGTGTCGGATATCTAGTTGCAGGATATGAGGAAATTTGATCCTGTGAGAGCTTGCAAAGGTGGATCGTTCGACTGTTTCGTTTGTTTTTTTTTTTTTTTATTGCTCGATAAGTTTTGTTGGAGATAGATTGTGCGAAGTGTAACAATTGACCAAAAAGAGGGAACATATACGTGCCGACAACGCACATTTATATGAGCCTACTAAATTTTATACAAGATAGAAGGTATATTATTATTTATTTTGACAAGAATACTGTTTTTTTTTATTGTTGTGTCAAGGAACTAGATACAGGAGTTTAGATTTTGTTGTTTATCTTATATGAGCATACACGTAACGATGCGCCTTGATTTTACACGTAGGCAAGTACACAAAAACACTCATGGAGTCAACAAACGATAGTCAGTCCAACAATGAGTTTACACCAAGGGCATATCAAATTGATTTATATGAGAGAGCGATACAGAATAACACAATTATTTATTTGCCAACTGGTGGAGGGAAAACCTATATCGCTGTTATGCTTCTGAAGTATTTGAGTAAAGATTTACACATGTATGTTTCTTCTTTTGCACGTAATATTTGCAATTGATACATGTGTCTTTTTGATTACAACATCTCATGTTATTACTTATATACTTTATATGCTTTATTAATGTAATATAAAAAAAAGGTTTTTCTGTTCATTTTAGACCTTATAACGAAGGTGGAAAACGAAGTATATATATTGTAAATACAGTTGTCTTGGTGATACAACAAACAGAATATTTAAGAAGACATTCAGGATTAACTTGCAATGGTTATAGTGGAGATATGCATGTAGATTTTTGGAGCAAAGATAAATGGATAACTGAAATAGAAAACAATCAAGTACTATTAGATTTACACATAATAGTTTTGATCCAACTAAATGCAATAGTTTTTGATTTGGCTACTAAATGGAATGTAATATAATCTAGGTTCTAGTAATGACTTCACAGATTTTTGTGGATTTACTTCTGCATGGGTTTATGACATTAGATAAAGTAAACTTAATTATATTTGATGAATGTCATCGAGCTGTTTGTAACCATCCCATGAGACAAATCATGCAACGATTTGAGGATTGTCCAAAAGAGCATCAGCCTAGAGTGTTGGCCATGTCAGGAACATTATTAAATGCTAATGTAAAGTTAGATAAAATTGAGAGTACAATCAGGGTAAAGACTTTTATTATATTATTATCGTGCACGTATAAGCGTTATTATAATATGTAATCTTATTTTCTCTTTTCTCTTTAATTTGATGTTCACAATGAAGTTTCAGAGTGTTCTCGTATTTTTTTTTTACAGACTTTAGAAATAACATTTCAAGCAAAGGTAGCGACTGTTGATTCAACAAATTCTGTTCAAGGCTTTTGTACAAATCCAAAAGAATTTATTGTCAAATATGAGGAGTATAAAATTCCTGCAATGGTAGAAAAAATTAATTTGATGACGGAAGAATCTTCAAATATATTGAAAAATTTAACTTTTTCTATCGATTTAATTTACTATGAGTCTGCTCCAGAATTTCGGCCTAAAACAAAATGTTCCAAATTCGAGTCCATTATACGTGACATAGGATTGGTTGCTAAGCAAGCAGGTAGTCACTTTATTTTCATACTATTATTTTTATATTTCGAGAATACTAAACTTTTGTGATATGCTTTTGATTATTTATTACTGTGTGTGTGGTCTTATATACTTTTCACTGGATGTTTTTAATAGATACTCAATGTGCATAAGATTCTATTTAAGATTCTATTTAATTTTTTTACTTATAGGCATTTATGGCGGTAGTAAGTCAGCTCTGATACATATAATTCAACTGGAATGTTTGAGAAAAAACAGTGATGATGCGGTGAGTGTGTAACTCTTGACTAGAATTATTAATAAGATTTTTCTGATGACTTACACCAGCTTGCATTTATTCGTAATTTTTAATCTCTTAATTTTAATGATTTATTAATTATTTCAGACAGTAAATGTCGTTCTGGATTATTTAATTACACAAGTGATGTGTATGATGAAATTATTTGAAAATGAAATGAAGAATTTTACAGAATTGGACCAACTATATAAGTTAGTATAAAATAATGTCAAAACAAAAATAATTTTAAATTAAAACCGACATTACCAAATATGTGTATTTTTTTAAAATAATATAAAATTTTCAGATTTACTTCCGATCAAATTCACAAGTTATTTGATACATTGAAAAAGTTTAAGGAAGAAATGTCGAAAAACCAAGAATTTTGTTGTATTATTTTTGTCAAAGAGAGATTTACGGTACAAGTGATATATCACATATTAATCGTGAGTATATTACTTTTTATATCTTGTTTTATTTAAGTACTTATGACTAAGTAGTAATTTATAATTAATAATTGTCGTCGATGTTATATAAGCTTTTTGAAGTAATGCAAAATTCATAATATAAGAAATTACAAATAATATGTTATTACAAGAAAATTATATGTTTTAGAACCTGTCCGCGTATGATGAGCAATTCAGTTTTCTAAAGCCTGATTATATACTTGGATTCCAAAATAATCCGTACAAACAAGCTTTAGAATCTTCATACATCGCAAAATGGAATAAAGAAGTATTGAAAAGGTATTAACTCTGACTCTTTACTGTTTTGAAGCAATATTGTTTAATATTAGTAACTTGTGGATTTTTTTTTTTTTTTAAAAAGCCAAGTTTTCTCATTAAAAGCTGATATTTTTTCCTACACTATTGGAAACCAAAAAAGTGAATAATAACCAATTTGATTTAATTTTCGAGAGACGCAATTTTAACTGGAAAAAATACGTTTCTGCAGATTTAGAACTGGTTTGTCAAATTGCATCGTAGCAACTGATGTTATCGATGAAGGTGTGGACATACCAGCTTGCACATTGATAATACGATATGATCTTCCTACGGATTTTAGAGCGTATGTTCAAAGTAAAGGACGTGCACGTCACAATATGAGTCATTATGTTGTCTTGATGCCAAATAATGATGTTTCTTTTCTTAAAAAATATGAATATTACAAATATACAGAAACACGACTAAAATCGGTAAACATCTACTTTCTTATATGTAAATGTTTGTATTACACATATATAATTCTAAAATATACAATATATATAAAATATGTTAACACATAATATATTTTTGTTTTTTTTTAATTCTCTTTACGTCTTCCAGAGTTTGATAGGACAAAGTGATCTGCGCTCATTGCCTACTGAGGATGATATTACAAACGTTTTGTATTCATATGAGATTGAACCGTATATTGTAAAGCGAGATGATACAATAATAACTTCTCTTACGGCTACGGCCGCGGTTATCTTGATAAATTCATATTGCTCTACGCTAATGTCATCTAAGTTTGTTCAATTGGTCCCCACTTGGAAGTTATACAAGAACGAGTCTTCAGATCCTCCAACGTTTAAGGTACTGCAACTATTATACCAAATTGTTTGCTTTTTACAAAAACTAGCACAACACAGGCGCGCGCTATTGTTATTTTTATTTAACGTGTTGTGTGAATACAACCTGTCACCGCGATGACAGATAGTATATACGTCTTATAAACCATATAATACACATATGAGAAATGTCAGAAATAACGCATGAAAATCAAACTCAAAAAATAGTAAAAGAGAGAAGTGGAAAAACAACACGTGACTAAAGTCAAGTGACAGGGAAAAGGGTAAAAAAGAGAATATTATATATATTATATTATATATATTTTCATTATTTACTCTCTCGATCTTACCGATTCGATTCGACTCGATCAACCAATCAACTAATCGGCTACGCGGAAAAGAGGCAACAATAGATGCGATACATTCTGCTCCAAAACGCGCACTTCTCGGTCCAAATGACTTTTTTTTATATAGGACACAGCGTTTATTGAACGAATTTGAATTTAGGTATCTCTCCGACTTCCGTCAATATCACCTCTGAAAACCGAAGTCGTAGGTGATTATATGAGTAGCATAAATGGTGCTAAACGATCTGTCGCTATGAAGGCCTGCAAAAAATTGCACGAGATAGGCGCACTGACCAACGAATTACGGCCCGTATGTCCAAACACTATATTAAATCTGACAGATTCTTCCTTATTTCCAAACTGGATAGACGAAAAAGATTATTCAAATGTTCCTGGCACGTATAAAAAACGTCGGGAACATAAATTGGAGGCAAGTGAACATTTTTACAGAAATGAGAGATCGTACATAATGTTAATGTTGTGATATATATCTCTTAACTATTTACAATTCATTATTTTCTGTTTATTTAATGAAAAATTGATTAAAAATGTTGCCCGTGCAGTATCCAACAGTATTATATGGAGCATTTCCAAAGTCTTCCAAACAATTATATCTTCACATTCTCCATTGTATTCCCACATATTCTGTGATGGATTACGACAATAGACGTGTGGTTTTCTACGAACTACTTAGAAACAAAAGCGGATTTGGTATCCTTTCCACAACAAAAATGCCGCTGGTAGAAATATTTGCAATTATTATAAGAAACTAGTTGTTATTATAATGTATATGTGCTATTTAAAATTGCAATTGTTTTCTTTCGCACACTTTGTTAGATACCAACTTTTCCGCTTTTTATGAAGGATGGAAATTTAAATGTCGATATAAAATCTAATCATTCAACGATGACATTAAGCGAAAAAGAAATTGAAATGCTAAGAAAATTTCATTTCTTATTGTTTAGCGAAATCATTCCTGTTATTAAATGCTTTATGATCTTCGATAATGATAATCTTGAAAATTCCTTTCTAATTGTTCCGTGTAAGTATATATATATACACACACACATATATGTATATATGTGTGCGTGTTGAGTTGCTTGATCTTATAATAATATATAATGTTGCGTATATATTATATATTTGATAAGATAATTTTATTTTTCTAATGTTTCAGTGGACGATAATCAAAACATAAATTGGGACGTTGTTGGGACATATCAACATTTAGATCGAATTATGCCTTCCAAGCCTTTTTGCTTCAAAACTAGCGATTACGACTTGGCTTTAGTCACTCCAACTTACAGGGGATCGGCGAATGTTTACATAGTTACACATGTGTGTGACGATCTCACTCCCGAATCACCTTTCCCTAATGAAGACTTTGACACTTACACGCATTATTACAGAGAAAAGCACGGGTTACGTATAGAAAATTTGCAACAAGCGATGTTGGAGGTAAAACCGATACCAGTGAAAATTGACTACATAAAACCGAGGTATATAATTTTACTTGTTAAAAAAATAATTTTAACGCTGACACATATCTCTTTGCGCGTAAAATTGTAATGAACTTGCGCGCAATTCGTAGAAAATCAGCTGGCAAACAGGCGAAGTATAAGAAAGCAGACGACACGGTGGAGGATCTTCAAGAGCATTTGATACCGGAACTCTGTTGGAAAATAAACTTTCCAGCTTTATACTGGCTGAAGGCGACCACGTTGCCGTCTATTCTTCACAGACTCTCTCAGCTTTTGATCGCGGAAGACTTGAGACAAATTATTACAAAAGAGACCTACTTGGGAACATTGGCGGGACAAGAATGTTTAGCATTAACATTAGAGACAGATGTTGAAATATTAAAGGATGACGATTCTATCAATGAATCGGACTTAACGTTAGATGATTCGATTGAAAGAGTACCATTGGACCTACTGGATCTAAATAATGTGTACGAATCAGGTGGTATGTGTATATAAAATAAAGATCACAGCGACATATTTCATCTTGTATCTATTGATATAAATTCCATTAATATTCGCATTTTTTTCTGTGGGATTCTGAGATGTCGTTTTTCCGTCATTCAATACATTTTTGTTTCCTATTGCGTCGACAGATTGTAATCCGTGCGAAGATCAAGAACCTCAGGATTTATACCGCAACATAGAACATATTCAAATGATCGATATTAAATATTATAATTATTTTATGTTTACAAGAAGTAAAGAAAATAATAATCTTCAGGTGAGCAACAATACGATACATGTATATAAAAAATTTCACATTTTTCAAACAATAATGTTTATAGAGACAGAAAAGTATGAACAATAATATCGGGCAATATATAGCAAGACAAGTGATATCAACGCCGTCGTTGACAATGTTGTCGTTTGAGGGAATGTCTCACGTACATGGTCCTAGTGCGATAGAGATCATGCATGTAAGTTTATTTCTCGTATTTTATATGTCACACGTGATCTGCCGCAAGTGCGAGTAAACATGCCAGTAGTGAATATATTAGACTGTCACTTATGTTATATCAAATTAGGATATCAAAAATTTTTTGTTTTTATCGAATTTCAGGCACTTACCACCAAACTCGGCATAGACATGTTCGATCTGGAACGTTTGGAAACCTTGGGCGATTCCTATCTGAAGTTCGCCACGTCGCTTTATTTATTTCATAAATTCCCGTATTTCAGCGAGGGCTACCTGACAGCGATCAAGGGAAAGATAATTGGCAATCGTAATCTTTATTACTGTGGCGCTAAAAAAAATATTCCGGGTCGCATAAAGAACGATGCCTTTGTGCCTAGGAGCAATTTTATTGCACCCGCTTACACGGTGCCACGCTTATTGCAAGCGCAATTACTCGAGGATTCGGTGGCGCCGAACGTGTTGTACGAACTTCGAATACCGGAGGAAGAAAGATTTTCCGGACACACGAGCGAGGATACGCAAAATTCAATTCAGCAAATAGTGAGCGGTTGGGACAAAGGGGACACGCAAACCGGGTTCGAACATTATCTCGGTGTTCAAATTCTGTCCGATAAAACCGTAGCAGACTCGGTAGAGGCGTTAATTGGCGTTTATCTCAGGGTAAGTAAAAAAAAATTTATACATTTTTAAGTTAAATTATAAATATCTCATAATGGATAAAAAAAAATGATAGCGTTAACAAATTAACGCTATGTGACAAGTGAAACGCTAAAGGAATTCTTTATTTATTAGAGCAACGGCATAGTAGGCGCCGCAACGTTACTCAAATGGTTCGAAATATTACCGGACATTAACATAGACATATTACTGAACACAACTCCGCTCAAACCCGTGTATTACACTGAGAATCTTGCTCTCCACATGCCATGGGCAACGGCTTTGGAAACGCGGTTCAATTACAAATTTAAAGATCGAGCTCTCTTGCTGCAGGTAATCTTCGTTCGCTAAAAGCGCGCATTTGCAATTCATTTATTTTTTAGTTAATTTATTATATTCTTCAATCACATCCGTGATTCATCGTACGTTTCATATTTAACTTATTGCACGCGTAATTTTCGTGTATCTACACAATGTAGCAAAACATTGAGATATTTTTATATATCCGAATCATAAGATTATTTTTTATTTTTTTTATTTAGGCATTCTCGCACCCGTCTTACACAGCCAACAAATCAACCGATTGTTACCAAAGATTGGAATTTCTCGGGGACGCTGTTTTAGGTAAATATGACAATTTGTTGTTGCAATGTGTGTGCACAATTTTTTTCGAGTTTGTTTTCTTTGTGTAAATTTTGCAACGGAAAATAAATCTGTATTCTTTTTTTTTTTTTTTTATTTTAATTATTTCAGATTTCTTAATTACATGTTATATTTATGAAAACTGTGGAGGTTTGACCCCTGGCGAACTCACTGACCTGAGATCCGCCCTGGTCAACAACATAACATTTGCTTGTTTGTCCGTACGATACGGTTTACATACCTGCTTGTTAGCGTATGCTCCAGTATTACACGAAGCAATAGATCGCTTTGTGAAATTCCAAGAAGAGCGAGATTATATAGTTAACGATGAGGTACGTGAAAAAATATATTAACGGTATAAGAAAGGTACATAACTATATCTTATTACATAATCTTAATTATAAATTAATTTCTTTTTTTTTTATTTTTTAAATACAGCTATTGTACGTGTTACTCGAAGAAGACGACTGCAATATAGCAGAATATGTTGATGTTCCGAAAGCTCTCGGAGATATATTTGAGTCTTTAGTCGGAGCGATTTATCTCGATACCGGGAAAAATCTAACAAAAGTTTGGGAAATTGTCTATTCTGTTATGCACAAAGAAATTGGTAAGAAACACGTACGTAATATTTACAAAAGTATATATTATTATTAACTTGTGTTTTCTTTTTACAGAGGAATTTAGCAGAAACGTTCCTAAACAGCCAGTACGCGTGATACACGAAACCACGGATGCTCGCCCTAAGTTTTTGTAAGTATAATTGTTATATTTTTTTGTTTTTATTTACAATTTTGTACAGTTGATCGAAAAAAAAAATTAACTTTGTTTTCATGAGTTTCAGAATGAGCTAAACTCGCGGTACACGATTGAGATCTACTTGAAAACACTTTTCGCAAAAAACTAAATCAATTGTCTCGCGAGTTTGGTTCAAAATGCAAAAGTTTTCACGCTTTTATATCGCGCGATGACTATTTATATTTACTTTTATTCTAATAACATTTGTTCTCTTTTACTCTCGTAAACGTGTAATTTATTATATTGATTACAGAGAAGCGACATCGGTTGAAGGCACTAGCGTAATTATGGTGCCTTTAAGAATAATTGTTGCCGGAAAAGAGAAGATTTTCTATGGTTTTGGAAGTAATAAAAAACAAGCTAAATGCGCCGCGGCGAAACAGGCGTTAAAAAGATTGAGACAAGAGAAATAAAAAGATAATTGTTTATCTCAACAGATTGCCAGTATATCCGAGCAGAATGTTAAAAACAGATCAACTTTTTATACATGTTTCCCATTATGCTCGTGCGCCAGCAAAAAGTCCGCTGACATTATTATTATTTACATGTTTATACGGCATTTATTGAAAAAAAGATGATAATTATTATTGTTATTATTGTATTACTACACTACTACTACTATTATTATTATTGTTATTATTGCATGTTTATATGCTATATTTTTATAAATTTGAAATATGACTACATAAAAGTCACGTAGCACAAAATACAGTATTTGAGATTGGAAATTAATCAATTTTGTTTCATTTCCACTCGCTTTTGACTGCTGGTTTTTTCTTAACTAGCAGACAGAACAAATATGAGAAGGGATTGCGAAGAGAAAAATTTATGTACGATGCGGTCTCGATCAGTCTCAATGTTACCGATCGATTCCGCAACTTCCAGAAGTTGAGACAATTGAGAGAAGAACCAATATGTTAATGCAATAAAATACGTTTTTACAGATCGCGCTTTGATACCGCTCAAAGTTGATGTCAATTATTCGATCACGTATGAAATTTGTTTTTTTCTCTGTGAATTTGTATATTTGCAAGCGATATGTTAAATTTAAGATAAAATTATGTATAAATTATAATCTTGTGATATGTAATATTATGCTGGAAAAAAAGAAAAAGAACAACATAAAGTGCCATTAAACAATTATTGATGTATTCGAATTGTTCAATTTTCAGCTTTTCTTTTTTTCAATGAAGGTCGATCGAAAACTTGTTTCATTCCGGCCGCTTGATTGTTGTGAAATTTGAGATTTTGCGCGGTTTCCGATATCCAAGGCGAATCGAACAGCGTGGTGTCCTGATCCACCAAGTGAGTGTACTTGGTTCTACCGCTACGTCCGAAGTTCTTCACTTGCATGACCTTCGGCAAAATTGTCTTGTCGAAGTGATCCTCCAAGGTCGCGCCGGAAAAGTCGCGTTTGAATATGGAGTCGTCCTTGTCCAAATAGAACGCGCCGCGATGATAGTACTTCTGCAAGAATTTGTACTTTCCTTTGGCCGCTTTGTTGGTGATTATCTTCGGATTCAATCGCGCCTCTTGTCTTCGTTCCTCCTCCGTCATGTTGCGAATACGCTCGATTTCCAAACGTTCCTTCTCGAGTTGTTCCCTTTCCTCGCGATCTCGCTTTATCCTCTTCAACTCGCGTAGCTTCCAAGCCTCGTACTCCACCTCGTCGTTCTCATCGTCCGTGCAAACGTCGTTCAGTTTGCTTTCTTGCTCGCTGTTACCTTTGTTGCCCATCTGCGTCTCCTTACGCACCGCTTCCTCCACCATTCTCAGAGTCTGTCTCTTCCGTTCCTCAGCCAGTTTTTTAGCTTCCACCTCCGCTTGCTTCTGCCGCATCGCTTCCTTCTCCTTCTCCATCACCGTGATTCTGTCTTTTTTACGAACAAACACGGGTTTCAATCGGGGCCCGGTCTCCTCCTCCGAGTCTGTGTACTCCTCGTATTCCGAGCTCTCGTCCGAACTGTCGCCCGTTCTCTCCTCTTCCTCGCCCTCTATCAATTCTTCCTCCGCTTCCTTTTTCGAAAGCACTCGCTGCTTGAGAGCCTCCCGTCGTTTTTCTATTTCCGAATCTGACAATTCCTCGTCCTCCGACGAATCCGAGCTCTCCAATTTGATCCTCTCTCGCGTTCTCTCCAACTCGATCTCGATCAATTCGGGCTCGTGAATGTGTCTGTGTCTTTCCGTGCGTATCTCGGTCTGCGCCTCCTTCTGTTGTCGCGTCAATCTACGTAAACGCGGATCGTCTTCGTCTCGATTTCTCGAGTGCGAGTGAGCGCTGATCTCGGTGACAACTTCGTTATCGTCGTAAGTTTTGTGCACTCGCTTCTCCAGAAAATCCTCCTCTTCCGATTCCTCGTCCGAACTCACCGCCGCGTAATTTGGTCGTTTGCCCGAGACATAACGATGCACCTTCACCTTTTTCATAGACAATTCGCCTGTAAACACGTAACATTTTCTTAAAATGTAAAATAACACAATCTATTGAAGATAACCTATTTGAATTTAATTTTGAACCCTCATACAAATCTTCAAATTACCTTTGTCATTCTTCACAGGCACAGCACCCGCTGTGCTTTGAATTCCCATAGGTGCGGGCGCCAAGGAATTGTTCGTCACAAAATAGTCCATCATCATTTTGATGACTTTGTGTTGATTATATTATTCGCGATTAACTATCGTTGATTGTCGATGCCAGACGCGTTGTTGGAACCACAATATATAAGAAATGTGACAGACAGCGCGCGCACATAGCAGTACGGAACAAAACCAAGTCAATTGCAGAGAAAACATTTTTATTCACTGAGTTGCTGTGCGTAGTTCATGCAAGCTTTGAAGAGAGCGTCTGAGACGTTTTTTGTCACATGACCAGTCGTGAAAAATGAAATACGCCCGCCATGGGCGCGCACTCGCATGTATTATTACAAAACATAAAATCTAACAAGGGGATTTTATACAAAACTTCAAACTAATCTTCAAAAATTACATGTTTTTCTCTTTCCAGAAATTAAAATCAAATATTTGTTTATAATTTATTAAAAACAGATTTGTTTTCTTTTCATTCATGTATAAATAATCATAAAAATATAAATAATAATATAATAACGTTCACGGACACATTTACAAAGTGTTGCTTAATTATTGAAATTTTTACAACAGAATGTTTATACGACAGATTTTTGAGTTTCGTATCTTTCAGGTCATTGTGCACATTTATGCTGATTCAATGATTATCATCATCGTGAAGTGAGGCAATTTAAAGCGATACGGACAATAGTTGGCGATGAATGACGTCCGGCCGGCGTCAGCATGGACCATGTTTTTCTTCCTGGTTCTTTTGACGCTCGAGTCGCGTTTTATTACTGGCGAAATAAAAGACAAGGTAACTCATTCTCGAAACAAAATGCAACTTTTTTGTTATCGCTATTCCTGTATCACACAAATCAGAGTTTTTATGTACTTACAAATTATGTTGAACTAACCATTTTTGCATTGGATTTCTAATGACATGACATTTGATAGGCGCGAGTACGTCCGTATAATGGAGGCGCACTCTTCTCAAAACATTGATCAATCAGATAGACGAGATTCCGGTTTTACGACAATTAAGTCACGCAATAACAATAAAATCTCTCCTACGGAGCCGGAAACACAGTTCTCGTGTTCTTTGTACATTTCGTGCGCTCAAAAAAGTCTTCAAGATCAAAATTATGGTAAATCAATTGTACACGTGTAAACTCAATTTGCGCGCAAAGCGCAAATGAGCGGCGAATATAAAAAGTTGATCTCAATTTTAGAGATTCAATGTTATATATTGCTTCGTAATTGATTAGATTGTTGCAAGTTGCTGCAGTCTCATCTCGAAGAAGCTATCGTTGCTTCTGAACCGCTATCGGCTTGGCGTGTGTCCGACACTCCGTGTGGCTTGATAGCCGCTTTTGTTCGAGAAAATGACGCCGAAAAACTATTGCAACGTGCCGATTTAGCTCGGGTTTTCGGACGACCTGTGCAAGTATGTGCGTGCGCCATGAGTTTACGTAACGTATTATTTTTTGTTGTTTCAATTGATTTTCATCATCAGGTGGCGAGATTCTCGGCGAGAGATTCCCGTTACCGTCAAGCCGTGCTTTTACGAGACGTACCGTGGGCTATTCCGCTCCAGGATATATATTCAGCCTTGGAAAAGCAAGGAATCGTCCCTGCGAACATTGAGCGTTCACGTCATTACGTTCGAGTGGAAGTAAACAACTAGTTTTACGCATATCTTTCTACACTATCTATACTCATTATCCTCTAATTGTTTCCGATAAGCACTTCTGCGCAACACTTCTAACCGTTAAGTTAGAAATGATAATTTTTTATTGTTGAAGTTTTTTTTTACCACACAGTACAATGTATTACGTTAAAAGCAAGTAATTTTTTAAAAGAAGTAAATGCTGTTTTACATGTCCTCGTCGATTCCTTATCGCCTATTAATTGCTAACTACGTTTGATAAGTTTATCTGTTGCATCATAAGCAGTTGTTTTTTATCAGCAAAAGTAAAAATAGAATAAAAATTTTTAATAACAAAAAATTATCGCTTCCAACGTAACGGTTATACTTATCGAACATTCGTTATGTATAAAATTAATTTATTCAAATTGCTATCTCTGATAGGTCCTTGATGCAAATCATTACGAAGCTTTGCTGCGTCAAGGTCTGGACTTCTTTGAAGTAGCGCGCTTCAATGCAATCCCGGAACGCTGCTGGCGTAGCGGCACCGTACGTAACGCGTATTCCTCCAATGTGCTTTCGCGATGTTCGCCGATGGACGATAGGAGTAATTCTTCAGATACATCGAGCGTGTCACAAACAACGGACAGCGTGCTGCAATGTTACCGGTGCCAAGGTTTCTGGCACGTTGCCGCTAATTGTCGGCATTTGCCACGCTGCGTCCGCTGCGGCGAGCCGCACAGCGTCGAGTTTTGTTCCAGACCGCGCAATAATCCTGTGTGCTGTCATTGTTCCGGTCCTCATCACGCCGGTAGAGAGCCCTTCTCGCGTCTCATCGCGAATCATCTCTCCTTTCTCGCGCTTACCGATCAGATATAAATTGACTGAACATGCTCGCGCGAAAAAGCTTCCGCGTTGAATGCGAGTCGTTTGCCAAGTACTTAAAGCAGATTTCTCTTCTTTCTTTTTTTTTTTTTTTCTAACTGCGCTATATTTAAGGATAGAGAAAGCGCGAGAAAATATTTCAAGCAGAAATGTGCTTATATGGTTGTTCTAGCTTTTCCAAGCCCATATTTTTCTCCAACAGAGAAGAAAGAATTAATTCACATAATAAAACACATAATATATAATTTATTTGTACACATTTATATTGTCGTACGATTGACAGTATATATATCTATTATTGACTGTTTTTGCAAACTGTTTTTTTTTTTTATACTTGTGCTATATTAAGAAGTAATTTCTGCTTTGTATTATACCTATCGGCATGCAAAGATCCCTGTACTATAAAACACATCAAATATTGAAATCGCTTATACGTAACCGTAGCATTCCGCTCATGCGTCGTATGACTATAATACCCTTTCATTTTTCATTACAGGATATAGACAGTGCCCAGTTAGATTGCAACTGTCTAACGCAACTCCTATGAGCATTACGTTGAGCACGACTCGTACGGGGAGCCAATATTCCGCAAATATAATCAACAAGTCCAACTCCTCGTGCCATTCTCTGAGACAGGGTCGCTGTTGAAGATAGTTATTTAACACACAAAAAATTCCACGCGACTTACATCAGCTTACTTACTTATTAATTTAGAGAAAACTGCTTTCGCCAAGGTTTTGAAATAACCATTTTAAACAACATCGTGTAATATTGTGCGTGATATTGCAAGATGTGTTTGCGAAACAATCCTCGCGCAAGTTACAACAAAAGTGAAATTTTATCATTTGTTCACGTAGCCTGAAAAAAAAAAAAAAAATTGTAATCAGATTGACGAAAAAGATTCGTAAACAAATCTCTGTGTCTTCGCTCTTTCTCTCAGTTCTGTTCTTTCGCAAAAACATTTCTAAACTACGTATAATAATTTATACGCGAAGTACACAGAATTTTACAAACTTGTAGTTTCTACTTTTTTTTTTTTTTTTTTTTTTTTTTACATAAACTCGTATGTGTTACTGTAACGTCCTACTTTCTTCGTCCTAGTCCCCTGAAATGTAGGTTTCCCCCACCGTTATCTACTGCAGTATCAGGTATACTTTGTTATATTGAGAGAGGGAGGCAAGGAAGCACATGAAACACATTGCTTTTATACTTTTAGTTCGATGTTGATTCCGTTCCGTTCATGTACGACTGGTATATGCCGGTGCATCATAAATTTACATGTTAAGTACGTTACGTGCCGAAAAATTGACCAGTGACTCTCGATCAAATTTTGATACGTATAAAACTTTCGTATTTTTTTTTGTTTTTTAAAATCTAGTTTTTGTACGGGTATTTTGATGAGATCCGTCAAGATAAATCATAAATCATATTTTTATAAAAATGTAGCATACGGCAAATAAAACATCGGATAAAACGCGAAACGGCGCAAGTTCGAGATTTCTTTCAAATATTATATTCTGCAAATAAATAAAACATACATTTGTAATGTGAACATTTTCAAAATTTCCTTTAAGGAGAGAGAACGCGACTCGCAATAAATAATTGAAAGCAATGTTTTTTTGTGCCTCGCGTTTAGAAATTTAACTAGAAAATTCAAGCACGGATGAGTATTGAACTTGGCACACTGTGGACATAAACTTGAACGTACGTTGTAAAGAGAAGAAGAAAAAAAAAATATGAAGAATATAAAAAATATATAAAAAAAAGAAGACCGGAAGATATATATAATGCAAAGATGTATTCGGTGTGCTTGACGGTTTTTCTTGTCGTGTCAATATGCAACTTGACCGTCCAGCAGCCAACGTTTTTCAGAAGCACATTCAAAGGACTAAGCGGTCTCACACCGAGCGCTCTCGTGAGTAATGAGATAAGAGCGGTGTATTATCACGAACAAACAGTGGCGGTGGTCGATCTCGGTCCGAATAACGAATTACGAGATTGCAATGTGATCGAAGTATAGTAAGTGATTGCACACAGATTACTAAATTACAAAACTTAAAAAAGTCAATTTTTTCAAAATTTACAGTTTTATCATTTTTATTTATAAAGCATTGTTGATCCTTTCAGCGAACCGATCGAAGCTATCCAGGTTCTACAAAACCTGTCTACGACTTTACATCCACAAATGGTGTCTTTCCAGGAGATAACGAGACTTATGCAACAGTGCGAGCTAATAGACAGTCTCCAAGTGGAAACCACGTCCACTTACCCTACAAACACACTGAGCCGAGGAACTCGCATAGCTGCGAGCTCGATCACTCTGTTCTCCGGTATCTTGCCAGGTTAATCAATTTTATGTGACTTTTTTAATTCTGCGCGCAACATTTTATTTATTGGTAAAAATCTAATATGTATTCCAGGCACAAAATGGTGCGGTACGGGTGACATAGCCGAAAATTATCACGATCTAGGTGATTTACCTCACATAGACAGGTTGTTTTCAAATGATAATTCTGACTTGTTTACAAGTTTGATTTAAAAAAAAAACGAAAGGAAACAGCTAAAATATATAAAATTGTGTTTTTCAGGTGTTGTCGTACCCACGATCTTTGCCCTATAAAAATCCGAGCTCAGCAAACCCGATATAATTTGACTAATTATTCACTGTACACTAAGTGAGAGAGAAGTTTATACATTTACCTGATAAAATTAATATAAAACTGGTTATTCTCGAAACAATCAAATATTTCACTATTTCACAGATCACATTGTACTTGCGATAGCGCTCTTTATCAATGCTTAAAAGCTGCCAATCATCCGACGGCGAATTTGATGGGACAAATATACTTCAATTTCGTCAAGGTGCCATGTATAGAAGATACAGAAAAATCCCGATATTCTTCTTCAGAATCATCAAGAAAATTTGTATCTGTGAAGAGAGAATATTGACTTGATAGAATATACCAGACACACATTTTCTCTCATATGTACGTAAGTCGCCAAGTAAGTAATATCTCTCGTCATCCGAAAGTTAGGATAAGATTTGCCCTTATTACGAGAAACTCTATTAAATTTCTAAAATTTTATATACATGTATAAAAAATTTGTGTGTGCGCTACTATTGTAGACTTTTGTTTAAATCTTACAATCTTGTGTTTTGTTTTCTTGAACGTAGATTCCTTTTTGTCAACATCCGTTTGTGTTTATGCATAATGTTTAATTGAGAGAACAGCCTGATTAATTCTTGGCAAAAACTCTATAAGATTTCTCACATTCGCATTAATACCGGACGATCTGTGATTATACAAATTTCCTGCAACAATTTTATTATAAATAAATTACATATTTTGTACTTTTATCCTACATCTTTCTTGAGAACTTATTAATTACTATGCAATTACCAACTAACCTATTAACCAGAGAGTTTCCTTTCTGACGTGTATATATTGATGACATAACAATTTATTCAATAAAAGACATAGATCTTCCTGTGAATATTTTGGATTCTTTAGAAGAATATCAACTTTATCTTCTTCGCAAGAATTATGCAGTGTGTTAGCTAATATACGTATGGATGCTGTAACCTAAACCAGAAAAAGTTAAAATACAATTTCCATGTGTGTGAATTTTAATACAAACAATTCCAGAATTGTTAAATATAACAGAAGAAAGAAATTACAAACCTCACTGCAATGAGCTGTTCCATTGTTGGATGAAAATGTTGAATGAAGATAATCAACAACTTGAGGCAGAATGGAATAAAAATTTGTAGTGCATATTGCTGAAGAAGATAGTAAAGCTAACAACCAAATCGAATTTGGACTCTCATATAAAAAATTTGGCTTTATGAGAACTTGTACAAGCTCTGACAATTGATTTTCTCTGTAAATAGATCAGAAAGATATTGAGCTTTCTCCTACACAAATTTTATACTTATTTTTCTATTCTACTGTATACAAAAAAAATAAAATATATTACTTACGGTATCTCATAAAATCCCACATGTACGTAGTGTAAAAGTGCGTATATTACAGAAGAAAGAATAGAGCGGTCAGATTTGTGCAACAATAATATCAAGTATTTCAAACAATACTGTGAATGTAGAATATCAAAGGCCTTCTTGCTTCCTGCTATTAAATTACCAATTGTCCAAATGCAAACATCCTAAATAAAATAAAAAATGTATCTGTACACTTTCAGTTTCCAAACAAATTGCAAAGTAATACATTAGAAAAAGTGACTTAAATTTTTCATAATATTACTCGAGTATATAACTTACCAACAATGCATAGTTAAGAGTTTCCAACTCGGCAACCAGATACGAACTAACGGCTTTTCCCAGAGCTGTGCAAGCTTTTGTGTTTCCAAGAGAAATATTACAGCAGCAATTGGCTGCATACAATTGAAGAGTTGGATCGTTACCCGAAAGATGACTTATTAAACTTGATAAACTCTGATCTACTTTTAGAAAGGCATTTATATTTTCCTCAGACTGGATAAATGCCACATATAAACATAAAACATTATTTATGCGTTAGTTGTTCTCACAACTTACTATAATAATTTTGTTGGTAATTATGCAGCTTAGCTACAAATATTAACAATTTATGATCAGGAGATACCTAAACTGCGTAATTATCTTCTGTGTAATACTTCTGCGTACCTGAATAAGAGCATTGGGCAAATATCTGTAATCCTCCAGAGATAATCGTTGTTTTTTTAGAAGCTTTACTTTTTCGTTAATATACTCAACGGAAAACAGTTCGTCTCGAGGATACTCTCCTAAATTTTTGCGATTCTTGTTCCATGTTAACTCGCGATTCTCTTTTCGCTTCGTCAAAGCGGCTTCTCTCAATTCTACTCGCAATTCTGTTTCACTCATGTTTTGCATAAGCTGTGCACGATGTGATTTCTACATGTTGCGCGTTGTTATACCTAACCTAACCTGACCTGGCCTAACTTAACCCTAACCTAACCTAACGTACGATGTTCGTTCGATAATCGAAATATCGAATCGACGCTCAGTTCTGCTGAGAGATATCGATAGTAAAGTGGATATTTATCTATAGTACACGTGACGTATAGTATAGATAAAATGCGCGCATATGCGTAACTCTGAACGCAGCCATGAGGTTTTTTTCCCTGAACTGGCTGCACTAGTTCACAGTCTATCTTTTTCTTTCTAATATGGATAAAAAAAGATAGACTGTGAACTAGTGCAGCCAGTTCAGGGAAAAAAAAAACAAACCTATGGATTGGAATCGAATGACATATATAAAGGCTGCGTTCGGGGAGCGCGCTATCAGCGCTGTCAGCATCATTCTGTCTTTATTGCTCGTTAGATGTGAAACAAAGATAGACCTCCTGTTCACGTGACGTATCCTATAGATTTTTCAATACCGCCAGTAATAACGGAACAGGGCCAGAATGACGCAATAGCGCTTGATAGCGTGCTCCCCGAACGCAAAGCCAAAGTTGGGTGTTAAATAAAGCTGTGTTGTATCTCATCGTCGATTCCCGAAGTTTCCGGATTTCGCACAATCGAATACTTTCTCACGTAAGTAAAATAACTATCAGCGAATTCTGTAACCGAGTGCGGACTACCGAATTCTGTATGAAGAATTAAAATCAAACTCTGAGCGCAATTAGTATTGAGAGGTTATGTTTTAGGAAACCTTTTTTTTTGTACCATCAAAGAATTGAAGATGGAAGAGGTCACGAAGTTGGAACACTTGTCTCTGGTGTCGAAAGTATGTACGGAATTGGAAAATCACTTAGAAATAAACGACAAAGACTTGGCCGAGTATATTATACATCTAGCTGAGGAGAACAATACGTTTCCAACGTTTAAGAAGGTGCTGATTGAAAAGGGAGCAGAGTTTTCGGACTCCTTTATAGCCAATCTTCTCAGGATAATACAGCACATGAAACCTGCAAAAGTATCTTCCGAGAAGTCATCAAAATCCATGAACAAACAAGACGAATTGGCGCTCAAATTTCCTGCACTGGCGTTACCAAATGAGGATCCACGAAATTCGGACACCGCGAAAGATGAAGATATCGTTAACGATGTTATGGCCACTCTGGAAGCGGCGGCAGCAGAAGCAGCTGCCAATAAAAAGCAGTCTGCGGATACGGAGAAAAATAACAATGATCACAGTGAAAAAAAGAACAAACGCAGCAAAAGGAGTAGAAGCAGATCGAGAGACAGAAGAAGCAGATCGAGAGACAGAAGAAGCAGATCGAGAGACAGGAGAAGCAGATCGCGAGACAGAAGAAGCAGATCAAGAGACAGGAGAAGACACAGATCGAGATCGTCCAATCGGAAGGAACGGCGACACAGATCGGCACGTTCGAGATCTCGCGACAAAAGACGGGAGAGACATTCCGATCGGGAAGAATCGTCTCGCGATCGTAGAGACGGAAGACACTCGAAGAAACACAACAGATCTCGATCGAGATCTGTCGAGGATCCGGTCTCCATTGAACCGGAAGTAGGTAAAATTTATGCCGGTAAAGTCGCGAACATCGTGCCCTTTGGCTGTTTCGTTCAGCTGGAAGGTCTCAGGCGAAGGTGGGAGGGCCTGGTTCATATTTCGCAATTGAGGCGAGAAGGTCGAGTGGCAAATGCGAGCGACGTGGTTACTCGTGGTCAAAAGGTTTTGGTTAAGGTTCTCAGCATCAGTGGACAAAAAGTATCGTTGAGCATGAAAGACGTTGATCAAGAGACTGGCAAGGATCTAAATCCGGTGGTTATGAAAACGGCGGAGGAAGAGGAGAAGCATCTGCGTAATCCCGACAGGCCTACGTCCCTGTTGGAGCTTCAGGGCAACTACGACGAGGACGAGACGTACTCGAGAAAGCGCGTGCAGCGTTTGTCGTCACCGGAGAAGTGGGAGATCAAACAGATGCTTGCGGCCTCGTGTATCGACAGGAGCGAATTGCCGGAATTTGACATGGAAACTGGAATCTTACCGCGGGAAGACGATGAGGAGGAAGACGTGGAAATCGAGCTTGTCGAAGAGGAACCACCGTTTCTTCACGGCCATGGCAGAGCACTGGGCGATCTCAGCCCCGTGCGAATAGTAAAGAATCCGGATGGTTCGCTGGCGCAGGCGGCGATGATGCAGAGCGCTCTGGCGAAGGAACGCAGGGAACAGAAGATGCTGCAACGCGAACAAGAGATGGACTCGGTCCCTACCGGTTTGAACAAAAACTGGATAGATCCGTTACCGGATGCGGAGAGCCGTACGTTAGCGGCGAACATGCGCGGCATTGGGTTGCAAACGCAGGATTTGCCCGAATGGAAGAAACACGTGATAGGCGGCAAGAAGTCATCATTCGGCAAAAAGACAAATTTGACGCTGTTGGAGCAACGTCAGAGCCTGCCGATTTACAAGCTGCGTGACGATTTGATAAAAGCGGTGACGGACAATCAAATTCTGATTGTGATCGGGGAGACAGGTTCGGGCAAAACGACGCAGATCACGCAATATCTGGCGGAAACGGGATTCACCGCGCGCGGTAAAATCGGCTGTACGCAGCCAAGACGTGTCGCTACGATAAGTGTCGCCAAAAGAGTCGCAGAGGAATTTGGATGCTGCCTTGGCCAAGAAGTAGGTTACACAATTCGTTTTGAAGACTGTACCGGACCAGAGACCGTGATCAAGTACATGACTGACGGTATGCTTTTACGTGAATGTCTAATGGACCTGGACTTGAAGACATATTCTGTGATAATGCTTGACGAAGCGCACGAGCGCACAATTCACACGGACGTGTTGTTTGGATTGTTGAAGCAGGCGGTAGGTCGTAGACCAGATCTCAAATTGATCGTCACTAGTGCCACTCTCGACGCTGTCAAATTTTCACAATACTTTTTTGAGGCACCTATATTCACTATTCCCGGTCGTACGTTCGAGGTCGAGGTGATGTACACAAAAGAACCGGAGACGGACTATCTGGACGCCGCTCTTATAACTGTCATGCAGATCCACTTACGCGAACCGCCAGGTGACATTCTGCTCTTCCTCACCGGTCAGGAAGAGATTGACACGGCATGTGAGATTCTTTACGAGCGTATGAAATCACTCGGCCCGGATGTGCCGGAGTTGATTATTCTTCCGGTATATTCGGCTCTGCCCTCGGAGATGCAAACCAGAATATTCGAGCCGGCGCCACCTGGCTCGCGCAAAGTCGTCATTGCCACTAACATTGCTGAAACCAGCCTGACAATCGACGGCATATATTATGTGGTTGATCCGGGCTTCGTTAAGCAGAAAGTTTACAATTCGAAAACTGGCATGGACAGTCTCATTGTAACGCCGATTAGTCAGGCAGCGGCGAAGCAAAGAAGCGGAAGAGCAGGCAGAACCGGTCCCGGCAAATGTTACAGACTTTATACCGAACGAGCCTATAGAGACGAGATGCTGCCAACACCAGTTCCAGAAATTCAACGGACAAATTTGGCCACTACCGTGTTACAGCTCAAGACTATGGGCATCAACGATCTTCTGCATTTTGATTTTATGGACGCGCCGCCAGTTGAATCGCTGATTATGGCACTTGAATCGTTGCATAGTCTAAGCGCTCTTGATAACGAAGGTCTCTTGACACGATTAGGCCGACGAATGGCGGAATTCCCGTTAGAACCGAATCTATCCAAAATGCTCATTATGAGCGTTCATCTTCAGTGTTCTGATGAGATCTTAACAATCGTCAGCATGTTGTCCGTGCAGAATGTTTTTTATCGGCCGAAAGACAAACAGGCTTTAGCTGATCAGAAAAAGGCCAAGTTCAACCAGCCTGAAGGCGATCACTTGACCCTGTTGGCGGTATACAATTCGTGGAAGAACAATAAGTTGAGTAACGCCTGGTGTTACGAGAACTTTGTGCAGATTAGAACTTTGAAACGTGCCCAAGACGTGCGCAAGCAACTTCTCGGCATAATGGACAGACACAAGTTGGACGTAGTGTCGGCCGGTAAGAACACGGTACGCATACAGAAGGCAGTGTGCTCGGGATTTTTCAGAAACGCCGCAAAAAAGGATCCGCAGGAAGGTTATAGGACATTAGTTGATAGCCAAGTTGTGTACATTCATCCTAGTAGTGCGCTATTCAATCGGCAACCAGAATGGGTCATTTATCACGAGTTGGTGCAAACTACCAAAGAATACATGAGAGAGGTGACGACCATTGATCCAAAGTGGCTCGTGGAATTTGCGCCTGCTTTCTTTAAATTCAGCGATCCGACCAAACTCAGCAAATTTAAGAAGAATCAAAGACTGGAACCACTCTACAACAAGTACGAAGAACCAAACGCGTGGAGAATATCCCGGGTTCGCAGGAGACGTAATTAAACTAATTTTATACATATATGTATAATAACTGAATTATATATTATGTCAAAATAATCTTAATTTCTATGATACGATGTGTCTCTCTTCTTCAATATTGTAAATATTGTATATATATTTTTTGTGTTCACACTCACACATTCGCTTTGTTTAAAAATTCTTGGAGTTCAAATAAACACTATAGTAGCTATTTCTCTGTGTATATAGAGAATAAATATTCCAATAATGATCAATCCTTTTTTAGAGAATAAATGTTTCTTATATTAAATAAAAATACATTGGGGGAAAAAGAGATTAATATTTAACAAAAACAACATGTGTAGGGAACATTCACATTTGCATTTGTTTTTAATTTATTCTTCCTTTTTTCTTTTTAAATTTACTTTTTTTTAAATACTTTTATGTTATAAGTAAATCGCGCGCGCGAGTCTGTTACGGACGCATATAAATATATAGATGTACACATATCTTATAACACAGCTGAAATACCATTTTGTATAAAATAATCTGTATGTAAGAAATTTACAAGTTTTTGTGAAAGGGACAAATTGATATTTTGTAATCACGAAATATATATATATATATCACTTTCTTTGCTCTCGCACTCTCAGGACATAATTTATAATAATATTTTTCACAGGACTATTAAAATGTTTCTTGGCTATATATATATATTAAAAATGCACCAAACAATCAAAACGTTTTTTTAATATATATTCGAAAAGAACTACTGTGTTTGTTGCTTCTTTTTTACTAATTCCACCAATTGTCTGTAACGCATTTGGCATTCCTCCTGTAAAAAATATAAACATAACGAAATTACCAAAAAATACGCTTATAAAGAGACGAGGAATTAAAAAAGAAAATATTTGATATACCTTCGTCTTGCCCTCGACGCAATTTGCGATTTTCTCCCACCTGTCTATCGATGCACCTTTAGGATATTTAGTGAGGGCTGCTTCTAACGCCCTTTGTTGTTCTTGACTCCAGTCACTACCGTTGACTGTATTGACCTCACCGCGAGTCTTAATCTTCTTTGGCTTGTCTTCCGCACCAACTTCCTCTATTGGTTCACCAGGCTTTAAGCCTTCGTCTTTTATCTAATATAACGAATACATCTCTCAACTTTCATGTCTCTCCACTAAAAAGAATAAAGTTTAATACAATATAGTAGTAACCTTTTTGGCCATGTGCGTAACTTCTGCAACAGTGCGATTCATAACGCTCGCGATTTTCTCCCATCGTTCTGGAGTCCCGCCGGGATACTTCTTTACATACTTTATTAATTCTAATATGTCGTTATCAGTCCACAATCCGCCAGATACCGCTTGCTTTTCGTGGACGTGATTTGTGTAATCGCAGTCTTCTTTTTTTGTAGTTTCTTTGAAATTGCCACTGCTATTTCTTTCTTGCGGTGTGAAGCCGGACCTGCGTTTCCTGAGTCCGCGTGAAGTTACCTCAGGTTCAGGTTGCTCATTTTCTTGCGCCCTAGCACATTTGATTTTATAAGTGATAGCAGAAACGATAATATAACATAAGTGTACATACACATTTATATACACACACACATGCGCGCAAGAAATAGTTTTTATTTACTTACAACGCCTCTTCTTCCTCCTGTCTTATTCTCTCCTTTCTTTCTTTCAAGACCTGCGCGATAAATCGCACAGTAGACGGTATAGCTATTATCGAACCTATTATCCATCTTGGTAACTGAAATGGAAGAGTGTTCCACATGGTTGGTGTGGGAATTTTTTCCAAGAAATCAGCTAAATCTGGAACATCCATTTTGCTCTTCTTACTTTTCTTTTGCAACTTTTGAAGTTTGCTACCTAAAACTTGCACCTGTAATTGTGATACAAACACTAATTTTTATGCTTTAAAAAAAATTATGAATTAAGGGAAAATTGTATGTATGTACAATCGTAATGAAACTTTACTCACACAAGTCTGTCGTTTCTCGTAGTAAGCCGCCCATGCCACAATATATTGCCCTATCGTGATTACTACAAACAGAAGACCGCTTATTTCAAGTAATCCCAATTTACGCGCGTGACGGTAATAATACACAGCTGATCGCCAATTTGGTAGACCATTGACAAGAACATTGTCGTACTTTTGTCGCTTTCCGGAATCTTTTAAAATATCATAAACGGCAACTAACTGAAAGTAAAATAAAGAGTAGCATTAAAATTCTATCTCAAGAATCTCTCAGAGTTTGACACTTGTCTGTTTATAAAATAATACCTTTCGAAATTGTTGTTCGGCATCCGCTGCGGGATTTTTATCCGGATGCAATTGCAACGACAATCGTCTAAAAGCTTTCTTGATCTCCGACGCGTTCACAGTCTAAAAAATAAAATTTATATATATATCTATGTGTATTTGTCACATACACACACGCGTACATATATATATTCGAGCATACTTTTAAAAATACACCACGTGTGCGTGAAAGTTAGTTACCTGTGTAACGCCCAACACATCGTAGAAATTTTGATTGACCTCTTCGACCACGTCGAACACTTCCAAGTCATCGTCGTCCCACGCGTACGAAAATCCAACCACGTTCAAAAAATAGACAATTCCGAAAAGGAACAATGATATATTCATTTTTGTCTACCGCATATAAACATAGCTATGACTCAACCACAGTGTTCGTGTTACAAGTATTTCGAATAACAAAATTTCAATTTCACTAAGACATAATATGTTAAAATTTTTCAACAAAATTTTATTTATCACAACTCGGCAGCGCGTCTAGAAATTAGGTTAGCGATATCTTTTTTTTGACGTAGGTGCCACATTGGTCAAGTTGACAAATCGACCAAGGCGATTGGACCATTGTGTATCGCGTCTTATGAAAGAAAACCTCGACGGAACGTTCTCGTTGAAACAGCGTCTCTGATTAGCTAAAGATCGCGCGACAGTTTTTGAGCAAAACCAAGTTTTCTCAGCGAGACTTGTGCAAAATCAAAAATCTACATATGTATATAGAACAGTAGGAAACCGACGATGTGTAAACGAACTTTGCGCGCAAAGTCTCTTTTCCAATCGGATGCGTAGCCTTTTAAAGAGCCGCTCTCTAGCGTCGAGGAGTTGTTTTATGTCAGCCAGCAACCTGTAATGTAAATACGGGCTTAACATCTAGTCTAACACAGATCACAAACCTAACGTTAACTAACACACATCTTGGTTTGATACTGACACATGAGATTCCGTTATCCGTTCTTGATACACAATACGTCGTTGTGTTGTGAGTCCTCACGCAAATTGCACAGCAATTTGTATCCATCAGCGAACCGATATCGATACACCTTGGTGTGAGCAAAATCTCTCTTTGGGATTGATAAGACCTGTTCAAATCGCCGAGATCGTCATGGATTTATTGGGATCCATCCTGAAATCTATGGATAAACCGCCTACAATCAGCGACAAGCAGAAAGCCCTCAGGAAAAGTCAGTTGAGTTTTAACCCTAAAAATGCTCAGTTTAAGAAAAAAAAAAAAAATAAAACAGTTTTGCGTCGAAAGATCTTGAGAATTTCTTTGGTTCATACACGCTCGTTTCGATTGCACAGAACAACAAGAAGAATATGAGAAACGAAAGAGAGCCGAGGCGGAAAAATTGAAGAGCTTTCGAGAACAGGTTGAGCGCTTTATAAATTCTTTTTTTTTTATTCCATTTCTCAGCTGATCAATTTGTTAAACGTGATATTTTACGCGCGTAGATCGAAGACACGATTAATAAGTTTCTGCAAGATGATGGCGCAAAGGAACACAAATTTCCTGTAATGGACCACATACACAGGAGCATTGTGTAAATAAAAATGTTGCTTTATGATTGAAAAAAACGTACATATATTTCTGAAACACTCTATATGATACAATAACTGTTTTGGGCTTTAGTCACGATGTAGCGGAAGTAGCAAATGTTTTGGCATATTCTTTTGGCGAAGAAGATGTTGACCGGCACATTGTGCTCTTCAAAAGAGAACACGCACCTTCCGAAGATCAATTAAACACACTGCGCAAAGGCGAAGAATGGAACGAGGAAGTTGCAGAAAAATTAAAAGAGGAGAGAGAGAGAAAAGCAAAGGAAGAGGCGGAGTATCAAAAATCTAGGAAGCGAAAGGAGGATTTTGTGCCCAACAGCTTTTATAAAGATAAGTATCAACATTTAATTGGCAAGGAGGCCGCCTTGGAAGCTGCCAGGAAAACAGAAGCTAACAGCAATTACGGATTTGGTGGGTACTTTAAATTATAAGAATTTGGAAACACAAAAAAAGATTTTTGTATACACATTTGCTGTGGGAATGTTATTGTTGTCTGTTGCAGTTCCCAGTGAAAATAAAAAGGACCAAAGAAGTATAGAACAAACTCTGGCTGACATACGCGCTAAGAAGAGGAAACTGGAAATGAATAAAGAAAGTAACAGTTGCGGCGACAGTACAAAATAGTGCTATTGTATAAATAATCATAGGCATATACATAAATTATCTATGTCCAATTAATTGTAAATAATATATTAGATATTTTACATATTACTGTGTGCATTCTGTATATAAATATATATGTACATACATACGTATGTATATATATATATATACATATGCACCATCTATTAAAGGAGTCACCTGATATTCTAGTTTGTCAGATTTTCGAATTTATTTATTATTTGTTCCTACGAGGTATTGGTAAATTTTACTGATGGTATTAATTACCTGTCTGAGCGCACCTTGAATGTGCTATACACAAACTTGCTCTTATCTCATCTTGTTACGATACATGTACTTAATCTACACCAAAAAAAGCCTCTCATATGTACAATATAATACATACTCTCGCATATACACATGCTCATACGTAAGCGCTTGTTCTTGTAACAGTTTTTTTTCTCTTGCCCGTAAATTGAGCCATCATGTAACATCTTTATTCCCGTTAAATATACTCCGTGGTCGAGTATTTAGTAATTGAAGTTCTGGGGGCTGGTTTTGGCTTCGTAGGCGACGGAGATTCGAAAACAATCTGTTCTTTCAGAGTGAGCAATTTCGTGAACTTTTGATTTGTCGCGGATTTATATAATTCCAGACCACGAACAATAACAACATCTCGCACGTAAGCTGCGTTATTTTGCACTAATTTTCGCTGAAAAAAAAGTATGTTATACCGTTCATTATCAAAATCAAATTATTATTTTAACTTGTTGAGAGTTGCAATATTTTTGTTTTTTTTTTTTCAGTTTTCTGAAACAAATGACAGAGTTGTGTACTATTGGGAGCCGAAAAGAACGCACACTACCCACAAGCTAACAGACACGAGGGGTAATCATCCGTCCGCTTCACCCGATTTCCTCCACTAGGTAAGTTCTGTGCGGTGGGAGGCCGTGTAAGTTTACATGGTTCTTGCTTGCGGACATACCCCCACCGCCTCGATAGAACGTACCTAGTGGAGGAAATCGGATGAAGGCGACGGATGATTCTCCTTGCCCCTCGTGTCTGTTAGCTTGTCTGAGCATTCTTTTCGGCTCCCGATAGTACATAATAAGAAAATAAATTATCGTTTGTTACCTCTTGTTTCAACTTCGGATCTGTAAGCGAGATGATCAGATGTTGAACTTCGACCCGCATCACAGATACAAGCACTTTATCTATTACAGACATAAGTTCCGGTGTGACTATGCTAAGGCAGTCTTCCAGCAGTCTGACATACATCTTGGAAAAAGTCAACGTGTTGTACGTCAGTTGCACCCAACAATCGTTCGTCACGTATGACGACGGTACATGAACACCAAAGTCATCAAGCTCCGACAACAACTTCTCAAGATTCTGACTAGTTTCCAGATTGGTCGGCCGCCAAGTATCCTCCGCTATATGACGTTTCGCCAAAGTGATACATTTTTCTCCAGCGTTTTCTATAGTCTTGGATAATGCGGATCTGAGTTGACCGTCTAACTGATAGCGTATATCCATGCCAAGTTGGGTTAACTAAAAACGGAAATTATTAATCACCGTTGAAACATACGCACCTATGCGCACATCAGTTATAAGAAATTTCAAGATAAAATGTGAAACTATTGTCGCATTAAATATAATATGCACCTGGCTGCAATGACTCCGAACAGCAACAATGCATTCTACCACTGTACTTAGCGGAAGTTCCGGTTCAAAGAGACACTTAAGTAAGCGCGACGTTAAGTCTTTTACCTCGTAACTGCACCATACAATTAAACCTTAAAATAACGACGAATAGATCAGATTACAAAATTAGTCGGCACCTGTGTGAATATTCTTCTCGATGTTAGAGAGATTACCGGAAGTGCAGTTCGTAGATTGTGGAAAGATCTTGAGAAATTCCTTCATTATCTCCGCTATATTGCTGAAGGTGATCGCGCTGAGTTGCTTTACGTAAATTTCCTCGGTCGCACCTTCTTCTTTAATTCTCTTCAACCGCGCTTTTAGCACAGCGCTGCACAATCGCAGATACAAATAGCACGCTTGCGTGCTTCTGTTTAATTGTATCAGAAGTTTGACCGCGCGTCGCGGTCTTCTCAAACCGCCTCCCAATAGGGACTTTGCTTCTACACTTACTTCCAATTCTTTAGTCAGTACATTGATCAGAGATCGACTTCTCTCGTTTACCTTCGTCTGAATGTCCGTCAACAATGGCGTCGGGGTGGCATCCTTCAAATAGATTTTTGCTTTCTCTAATAAACTATAAGCCTCTTCGAAATGACGCTGCGCTATACAGGAATCTAGATCCTCGGCTACTTCTAATACCCATTCCGGAGGCGGTTCGTGGTATTCCGAATCATCATCGTCATCCATCCCTGAAATGTCAATCACCTTGAATTATAATTTACAAAGAGACTGGTTGAATAAACTTCAAGAAAAAGAGGGAAAAAATGAGTAACATAAATTAAATAATCGTGCGCGATAAGTTTGACTACGTTCAAGACAAGAATATTTGATAAAAAGAAATTTAATTTCAAATACATGTGTAAATAAATATTTGTACACAAGACATACAAAAATATAATTTATCCATAAATCTTACCTAATGTGTTCGAATCCAGCGACATCGAACGAGAAGGTTCCACTTTATTCTCTTTTGGATGCTTATTATTCTCCTGCGCGTTATTAACAGAATTTTCTTCCGCTAGTTTTGCTCTTTTAGCTTGCTCGCATTTATCCAACCATTCTTTCTGCAAAACAAATAGATTCACAAATAATTTTTCTTCGCGTATCATGTAGCGATTGTTTTCGAACACACTAACTTTACTTGTCGCTGTGGTGCACTGGAACACTCTCGTGTCGGAAAACGCTAATAATTTGAATGCCAGTTTCACCGTGCCATGATCTCTTACATTAACTATTGCTAGGCTCTCTAAATTATAAACTGCTTGCATTTTGTATCTAGGTGGGCCGCGTCTACCACCATTGGCTAGCCAAGATGCAATCATCAAGATGTCATTAAACAAATATGCATGAATTCTCTTTAATGGTGTTCCATCAATTGGATCCAGCTCCAGCAGAGAACCTTCATGCAAACATACACGTCCTGGCACTTCGGCCAAACTCTGCAAGAGAAAAAATTATTAAATTTTTTCATATACTTCTACATGCAACTTGCTTGATTGAAAACTTATCAAATGTGACTGACCAGAGCACCTTCTACATTTTCAATTAGTTCGATAAGCTTCTGCTTTTGTTCCTCTTCTTTGGATGTAGAATTAGCTGAGTTCTCTTGCTGCGACTCAGATAAATCCTCGAACACAACACCCGCAGTTCTGGTCGATCCTAATGTGCTTAACAAGGCACGTTGCTCACTCAAAAGTTGTGACAATTGATACATCTCACTTTCTAAGTGCGAAATCTCCTTGGCAGTCTCAATAAATTGCATGTAGTTTTGATAAACATTTCGTTTTAATTGAGCGGACGTGTTGTTTGCTAATTCTTGTATTTTTGCACGTTGTTGCCTCAAGTCGTCCGCACCGACGCATTGCGCACTGAGTTCCTTCACAACTGCAAGTTTGAAAAATTTATAAGATAAAACAAATTTATTTATAAAATATCTATTAACGCGCCGCGCGTATACGTTGCGCCAAATAATTCAAAACAACATCTTATAACAAGTATCTCATTGTCGAAAACAAAACACCAATCGCTTCTATCAATGAAGATAAAGGCAACTGTAGAAGAATAAATTCTTTAACGGAAATATGTGGTAACGCTCACATTTTTCTGGGTTGAAATCTTCAGCCGCAAAAACTTTTGCCAAATTATTATCAGCCATTGTAGATCGATCGTTTTTTTTTTTTTTTTATTTTGTCGTTAAATAAATCGACATAATTAATATAGTTTACACCTCCACCCCCTCTGACTTAACCTCACTCGATGAGGTCTTTGATATGTTTCCCGTAAATCGCTCGAGACGAAACGCTCGATAACATCACAAAGCTCTTTGCAAGACGTTCTCGATGTGTGTGTATGTTGTATATCAGTTGATAATTAAAGAAATTTATCCGTGGTTGATCACATTTCTATTTTTCCTGAGAGATACCTATTGACGATATTTGACGTCGCAGTCGTTGCACAATTACCGTACACGGAATCGAATAATTTTCTACTTGCACGTCAGATGGTGCCGTTACTGTCACACATGTGCTACAATTATTATTTTAAATACTAATATAAGATACAAAATATTCACTTCTAATGTGTAAAATTAATGTTTATTTGTATCCGAGCAAGAACTCCGTCGCAAAATCTATGTTTGCTAATTGAATTTCACATCGAATCGAACATTGGTAGCTTATATGTTAAATTCGGAGAAGGAATGTCAGCTGGGAGTGTGGCGGCTCCTGTAATCCGGCTACTCGGAGGCTGGTTGTGTTGGAGGGTCTGAGGTCGGGGGTTCCTGCTGGTGCGGGGTTCGCGTTGACTGGGTGTCCGCACTAAGCTCGCCATCAATATGGTCACCCTTGGGGAGTCTCGGGTGACCAGGTTAGCTAAGGAGAGGCGAACCGGGCCAGAGGGGAAACCCAGCAGCCAAAAGTCTCCGTGGCGGGCAGTAGTGGGATCGCGCCCGGGAGTGGGACCGCATTGGCAGCCTGGTCAATATGATCCGACACATAACTTTTGCACTTTTTTTTTTCATTTTTTCATAATTTTACAACGTTCCTCTAATGTTTCCAGAAGAAAGTTTATTTTTTTAACGTACTTTTTCAATGTATTTTTATTGTTCACATGAACACACAGTCAGCATATGTATGCGCGTACTATATACACGCTACAAATGTCAAAAATTTCGATTTTTTCTTCGTTTTTTTTAGCAGTCAAGTCACAAATATTGTATTTAAGAAAAAGAAGTACTTTAAAAAGCATTAATATACATTTTTTTTTTTATATAACATTTTTATTAACGTATGTTCTCTATATGTAAAAGATTCTTCAAACGACACTGTTTCAGTGCACCTAGTTAAGTCAATAGTAAAAAACGATCATTCAATTAAAAAAATAACTATTATAAAAGATTGATAAGCGAAATACCTAGAAACAGCAAAAACACTTGCTGCTTGAAACTTTATTTAACTTTTTAAAGTTATCTCTTGATTATGTAGTTGCTTGATAAATAGATGAAAAGAAATAAAAGAAATGAAATCACAACTTTTCTCTGATGACATATGTATTCATGGAAAAATCTCTTATTTGTTATAACGTTATTGTTTTACAATAATAATATTATCAATAAAGATTCTCATTCATTTCTGCGCCTAAAAAATAATATATCAAGTAGTGTATGCAATATAAAACTTTAGGTGGAAAAGCTTTTTATAATACAATAAGCTTTATCGCCAAAGTATACGTTTTATTTTATTTTTTTTCTCATATTTAGAATAACAAATTTACGATTTTAACTTTTCCTTCTTCGCTTGCTCTGCCAATGCTTCTAACCGATCATATTCCGCAATCAAAGCATTCACCTCGTTCGCAGGTAATATTTTCATTATTGTTTTATTATCTTTTCGTGTCAATGTTGCCATTTCCACTGTAAGTAAAAAAATATTTATATAATCGCCACATATATAATCGTTAATATAATGTTACAAAAGATTTTGTATTTAAGATACATTACCTTTCTCAGAAGATAACTTATTCATATCTAATGTTTTAGAGAGCACTTTTATAGCAAGCGCCATTGCATCCTTTAAAGTAGTTTCTCCTTCCTTGTATTCTTGCTTCAAGGACGATACTGCTGCCGCAGAATTATTCCCAATACATGTTGCTTTCCAACCACCATAGTTTCCGCTAGGATCTGATTGATACAACTGATAGCCATAGTGTTTATCCCATCCCATATATAAAACGGAAACACCAAAAGGTCTCTTTCCACCAAATTGGGTATATGCTTGTTTGAGATCGCACAACCATGAGACAAGCTGTTCACAGGGTATAGGTTCCCCGTATTGAAGAAAATATCTTTGAGCGATGACACGTAATTCATTTGTTAAAACATTAGCATCTGAAGTAATGCCAGCCACAGAACAAACTATGTCATCGTTCAACTTATAAATCTTTTCAGAGAAGAATACTTCGTCTAACAGCTTGTTGGTATTTCGTCTTTCAGCTGCTAATAGAATCCCATCATTTGCTAATATACCTAGGCAGGTACCTGCATGACTTATAGCTTCCATAGCATATTCGACTTGATAAAGTCTTCCTTCTGGTGAAAAAATTGTGGTACGCGTATCATATCTACGTGCCTGTAATATAATAACCACATGATAAATGAGAGAAATATCAGAAAAGAGAAAAACACATATGTATTTCTATTAGTAAACACACACACACAGATATCCTTTAACATTGTAAAGATATTGCTAAGAACATATAGATGTAACTCTTTGAACAATTTACTTATGATATATAGCAAAATTATGTTTTATCAAATTTATTATACTATACCTCTCTAAATAAAGAAACATAACTGAAATAAAACTATTACTGCAATCACAAAGTTTTTAAATACCAGTATTATGAATTAGATATATTAATTTTTTTAATATTTTGTAAACTACGTACAACAGTATGTGAACAACGATAATGGAGGTATATAACGTAAATTTTGTCAATATTTTAAATTTATGATTAATATTACAACTTTGTGATGACAATGCATTTCCCACATAACCTATAAACATCGAATACCGAAAGTATGAATATTTTCAAAGTTGAGTGTATGTAATATCAATTTTATTGCAAAAATTTTCAACTTACCATTTTATAATTTTACGTTGTTGAAAAATTATCACGTATATTAGAATCTAGTATTCACCAGTGAATGATGATTTCTGTCAGTTGATTACAATGACTATCGGTCGACTGACAAAAATCGAATACTCGGAAAAGAGACGAGATAGTTTAAAGATCGACATCTATCGAGATATATCGAGATTCCTACCAGAAAAAGCGTGTGCAAATAATTAGAATCGATTATATCGATATTTTGAGACAGTTCGTCGTATACGTGGAGAAAATTAAAAACGTGATTAAAGTCACATGACGGAAAAGAGTAGAAAAACAACACGTGACTAAGGTAATGTGACTGTAATGTATATTATACATAACATTAAATAATATATATGATATAAATAATATATTAAATAATATATATTATACATATATATATATATATAATTTATTATATATTTATATATATATATATAAATGTTATACTTTATATTA